GCCACCCAGAATGGAGGTTGGGCAGTGGCTGCATGGTTCTAGATGTCCATTCTGGGTATTGGAGGCCTCCAGGCCTCTGCAACTACACCATCAGGGAGAAGGAGCTATTGGCCATTAAGGTGGTGTTTGAGGCCTGGAGACATCATTTGGAAGGGGCTCAGCATCAAATTGAAGTCTGGACAGACCATAAGAATCTGGAAAGTTAGTAGACCGCCCGGAAATTGAACCAACAACAGATTTGGTGGTTTATCTTCTTCACGAGTTTCAATTTCCGCATTACATTCATACCAAGCGGTCGCAACCAAAGAGTGAATGCTCTTTCAAAGAAACCAGAATACTCCCGTACAGAAGACAAGCTTCTGCCCAGGGCTGTTCTGCCCATAGAGTCTTTCTCTGCAGTTTGGGAACCACTAGATTTATGGGATCAGATTCAGGAGGCACAACAGCACAACGCATGGGTGGCTCAATGAAGGGAGGAGTTAAGGCTAGACTCCCCATGGACCGTCATGGATGGACTCCTGAAATATCACAATTGGCTCTATGTTCCAGCAGGGCCGCTCAGAGGACTTATTCTCAAACAATGTCATGATAATCCTGCAGCGGGGCATTTTGGCCTTTACAAGACATTCTGGTGGCCCCGAGTATGACATGATGTCCAGGCCTACATCATGTGTTATGTATGGTGTAGGCAGGCCAAATCAGCAACGGGGCCTCCACCAGGTCTACTTCAGCCCTTACCAACACCCAAGAGACACTGGGGAGCACTGTCCATGGACTTCTTGATGGACTTGCCCCCGTCTTCTGGCTTCCCAACGGTGTTTGTGCTGGTAGATATGCTGACTAAGATGGCACATTTCATTCTTTGCCGTGGCTTGCCGTCAGCCCGCACCACCACTCGCATGTTCATCCAGCATGTTTTCCGGCTGCACAGCCTCCCTGATAGAGTCATTTTGGATAGAGGGGCTCAATTTAAGGCCGGTTTCTGGAAAGGGCTGATGGCCTAGACATACAAATCTGCCTGTTGTTGGCGCATCATCTGCAAATGGATGGCGGGACCAAGAAAGTAATCAGAATCCTAGAACAATATTTATGCTGTTTCATGAATCAGCAACAGGACAATTGGGCAGACTATCTTGCAGTAGCCGAGTTTGCTTTTAACAATTCACAGCACATCTCCAAATGTATGACACAGTTCCTGGCCAATGTGGGATATCATCCCTGGTTTTTTCCCTTCTCGCAGCTCGACATGCCAGTTGCCACAGCTATTGAATATCTGATTGAGTTACAGGGTTTCCATCAATTGGTGTGACAGCAATTAGATAAGGCCAAGGACTTTACAATAAAGTCGCCAATCAGTCATGGCAAGATACACCTGCATTAGCTATGGGAGATCGGGTATGGCTGTCAACCAGGCACCTTCCATCACACTGGCCTGCCAAGAAACTGGGCCAACTATACCTAGGCCCTTTTCCTACTGAAGCCATCATTAATGTGGTTGCTTATCGGTTAACATTGCCATGTTTGTTACGGGTGTATCCGATCTTGGTCCCTCTTGGTTTCAGAACAACCGTGTCTGCTCCACCAATCGGAATGTCCCCCACTGGAACAGCAGAACAGAGACAGCACTCCTGAGTATGAGGTCGCCAGTATTCGAGATTCCCTTTGGAAAGGCCGATTTCAATATTTGATTGAGTGGAAGGGCTAGGGACCGGAGGAATTCACTTGGGAGGACATGACCACCATGTATGCTCCTGCCTTGATGACAGTGTTCCACAAACAATTCCCTTCATGGCCATATCTGGCCCATCAGATCCGGGGGAAGGGTCCTGCAGTGAGGGATAGTGTTGTGAGACCTTGCCTGGCAGCAGATCCGGCAGCCAGGTCAGATGAATTGGATGAGGGGGAAAGGTTGCCTGCGGTCACATTGGAGTCTATGGAAGGCTCTGAGGAGCATGAAGACTCAGAGCTAGATGTGACATCTGGCCCATCTACTCATGCTCAAGCAGAGAGACAGCTGGATTAGAGGCCTGAACTAAGTGAAGAGCAGGAGCAGCTGGGGCCTGTTCCAGATGCATGGATGCACAGGGAGGAAAGGCGTGCAGGACAGTGAAGGGCGGTGGGGCGGCCCTTCAGAAAAAGTAAATGATTCTAAGAAGCTATGCCCTAGCTGGACTATAAAGAGGAGTGGTGTGGGAGGGGCTGGTTGCCGATAGCAACCGTTCAGTAGCTTTGTGCTACTGTCGTTGGATTTTTTGCCTCAGGTTTTTCGGATTTCTGTGTGTTTGAGTGAGTTAAACCTTGAGCATTCCAGCTGAGAACTCAGAGACTGGTCTTGTTTGTTTCAACAGCTAAAGGACTGGTTGAGTTTTGTTCCATAAAAGCTGTGTCAAAATAAAAGGGGTTTATCTTATCAAGTCTTGCCTTTTTTCATGCAAAGGGGTTTTTCCTCACAAGTAAGTGGTTGAGCAGTATTTGCAGATGCTGGGACAGAACAGATTGGGGGCAGTGGCCGTGTGGCTCTGGAGGTCTGTTCAAGTCATCAGAGGCCTCCATGCCTCTTCCACCTAGAACAGAGGTCAGGCGCAGTGGCTGCATGGGTTTGGGGGCAGTAGCCACATGGCTCCAGAGGTCCATTCTGGGCGTCTGATGCCTCCTCCATGTCTCTGCTGCCCAGAACGGAGGTCGGTGATAGCCATGCGGCTTCCAAGGTCTGTTCTGGGCAGCAGAGGCATCTTCCAGAATAAACACTCTTTGGCCAGAGGCTGAAAGCTTTTGGGGGCCACGATCTTGTGCTCAGGCACTCATCCACTTTTGCAGAGAATGGGTGCCTGACATCCCGCAAGATCAGGCATCCAGAAGCTTCCGGGCTCTGCATGAAAAATGTTTGCACACCAACAGGAGGTTTGAAGCAATGTGATTTTGTTGCCCCAAACCTCCCTTCAGTGTGGAAATGCTTTGGAGGTGACTCATTGAGACTGCCTGCCACTCCAGAAGTGGGCGGCAGCTCGGTGAGCCAGAGAAGCTGAGCAGGGTGCACTTGTCCTGCTCTCCCTGTGTTCTCACGGGAGCAGACAAAGAAACAGGCTGGAGAGGAGACTCATCTTCACAAGGTAAGTGACCCAGCACGGCAGGATGGGGGGGGTAGAGCAATTGTGGGGACCCCAGAGAGTTAGGTATTTCAGTTGGTTGGGGATGGCCTTGGGTTGTCTGAAGCAGGTGGCTTGTTCCATCACTAAGCCTCCCACGGCATTCTCCACCCTGAGATAACTCATGTTCACTTAACGAGACGTGCATTCGCCCACGCATTAAATTAGTGAATGGGAGTGATCGCATTCAAGGTATGAGATTCACTCCTACAAATCCTTGAGTTATGAATGGAATGGGCAGGCTCCATTACATTCGTAACTCGAGGACTACCTGTGCTTGGTTTGACCAATATTAAATTCAGCAAGGCCCAGTTCATATATTCTGGGTAAGAAAAAATTGCAAGCAACTCATTTTTATTTTTCAGTGTTGGTGTCAGAATCCAGTTATATTTCCTTTCTCTCTATCTTCTCTGAAATAAAACCAATTCTTACCCTCTCCTGGATCCTGCCATACTCCTAAGGGGGAGGGGGGGTATGCATGCGGGTTTTATTACTTTCACTTCCTCTATTCACTACAAAGTAACCTTTTGCTTATTTGCTTTTGGATCTGCTAATCATCACAATGTAACCATTTGCCTTTCATCCTATGCCCCTCTGAACTCCTCCTTACCGGCCAGCTAGGAAAAAGGGTGAAAAGATGCAGCCTCCGGGATCTGATTTAATTAACCATCATCAAAATAAGGTGTGAGGAGCTGTTGAATGATCGTGCCCAACGGAGCTGGATTGATGTTATCTTTCCTGGATTTAACACCTAGAAATCTGCCGGTCTGAATCGCCCGGAAGAACTGTGGGATGGGGGTTGCTTAGGGACACTTTAAAACATCGATTTGTAAGGAAATCCCTCAGATCCCGTCTATCATGCCTGCTATCAATTTCTCTTAATAAAAGTTCCTGTTGGAAGAACCATTTCCAAGAGTTCTGCTTTCTTAAGATGTGGATTGAAGTGGTTCCTTACAGTTGGTATGTTTGGCAAAATACTGCTGAAGTGACTAGTACTTGTAGAAGTTGGATTTGATGTTCTGAAATCCCTATCAATATTAGGTTGTCAATGAACACCTTGGTATCCACTAGGCTTTCTATTCCCCTCAGTAATTTTTTTAAAGTTTGTTTTATTAAAAAAGCACTTTTGGAAGTGGCATGTTGCAAAAGAACAACTTGTAGTATCTTTATTTATAGAAGTTCTTCTGGTTCAGATATGGTCCCAGGTGTATTTTTAGAGAATAAATATGCACTCCAGTGCTTTGTTTGAAAGCAGGCCCACCTGCTCATGAAAACACAAAGGCAAGCTGGATATTGAAAAGATTCCTGGAGGACTGAAGTGGTTAGCAGAAAGTGACTTCACTTGATCAGTGGGGTGGGGTGGGGGTGTCTTGGGAGGTTAAAAAAAAGAAAATAACTTCACTTGTTCTGTAGGTGGGCATTTAATTATTAATGATATCTGCCATGACTAATGAATAGACAAGAGTTTGTATGACAGTCATTTATAAGAGTAACGTCAGTCCTCCCAGGTAAATAAGACAGAAAACACAATAAGGTGTTCTAATTGTACTTTTAAGACTACATTAACAGAATCTTGCTAGTCAAATATCCTGCTACCACTTTTAGCCACTTGATCAATTAGGGCAGATCTTTCCTAAGTTTCTTTCTCTGACCATTAAGCTACTGGGGATTCCCCTCTATCTTGTCTAATTGTTTCCTAAGCAATATACCATTCCTCATTTCCTAATGTCATTCTCTCATAACCATTATAAGTAAGCAGAAGTTTCTTTCAAATTTCAAATGTTCTAATTATCCTCCTCCCCCCCAACACAATTTGGTACCTGATTTATCTTTAGTATTTATTCAATCCCTTAGGATGCCTCTGGAAAAACAGATGGTGGGTGCTGCCAAAGAAACAGTGGTATTAACACAGCTTACCCCCATAGCCCTTCGGTGAACAGCAGAGAACCTGGCAAGGAAGATATTCCTAAATATCAGGTAACCTGAATGTCTCAGCTGAAATCTATATACAAATCCAATTTGCATGAACTGAAAATTAATCTTTACATTGAATTTCTACCTATTGCCACAAGGCCATAATAGCAAAAAAGAGCTTTATAATTTGCATGGGTGTAGGGGCAAAATATATATGAATTATTATACTTGGGATTGCAGTATAAAAGATTAAATGTATTTTTGCATAAATATATGTCTTAATTTCCTATGTGGCAACAAGTATATATATTCCATCAGAAAGAAAAAAAAGTTTAAATAAATGAAGCTCATAGTTATGGGATATGATATGTTTCTTACTTTATCTGCCAATGGTGGTGACTATCCAGCAGAACTCAGGGAGTCTTCAGAAAATCCTTCTGCTTTGCAATTGCTTCTTCTGGGATCCAATAATATGTGCTTGTAGAGTAAAGCTGAGTTAATGTAGAATTAGAATATGACAGTTTATGACAGTAATTAGACACATGTATGCCCTTGTCGTCTTTATTTGTAGTATGTCAGACCTGCTTCTGATGTCAACATGCTAGGTGAGATGATGTTTGGTTCAGTAGCAATGAGTTACAAAGGCTCAACACTGAAAATTCACTACATACGGTGAGTTGGTGTCTCCAGTTCCGTGTTATTATATCAGAGTTGGAATTGTATTTGGAATTATTGACTCATGGCATTGTTTAACCTTTCAGCTCTCCTCCACAACTTATGATGAGTAAAGTGTTTTCTGCTAGAGTAGGCAGCTTCTTTGGAAGTACGAATAGGTAAGGCGATCTTTATTTTCTGTTTCATTTCAGATTCTTAACTATAAGAAAAAATCCTTGGAAGTTCAGTTTATATTATTTATAAAAGTAACATTCAAAACTAATTCGTAATAAAGTAGACTGTAATTTTGTTTATAAGAATAAAGATCAACAATATACAGGAAGAGCAAAACTCCTCTGCAGAACCACAACACTTGTAATAATGTAAAATCTCTAAATTTAGGCCAGGATTAAAATGATATATTAACTGACTTGATTGGAATTGGAATATACAGATCTACAGAAGGGAACAAAATGTTTTATTTTAATTTATTTTAATCCCACCTTTATTATTTTTATAAATTATTGAAGGTGGTGAACATATTTCATACTCGTTTCTTATCATATTTCCCCTTATGTGTAGACAATAGGGTCAGGAGAAATGGCCTTTCAAATTCTTCACCAAATTTGTCGATAGAGAAATTAAGTAGATATTTTTTCTAATTTTCTTCAGGGAAAGGAATTTCATAATGATTGAAATCCTCCATACTATATAACTCTACTACCAAAAAAGTACAACTGAGAAAATTCCTACCTAAAAAAAAAAATGTGTAGATCTTGCATTAGCCCTGATCCACCTAGCCTTTAGGACCCCAAGTCGTGTTTTCCATTGTGCCTAGGGGTCTGATAATAGTGAGAGCTTCTATAGTGGTTGCTTTGAATCTCATCTAGTGATGAAGTCTGCTGCTGACTATGGTTAATTTTTATTTTAGTGTAGTTTTAGTGATAGTTTTTATATGTTTGTATATTTTTATAGGTTTGTATATTTAGTTATTTTTTCTAATTATTATAGTTGGCCACAGAATCAAATAAATTAAAATAAATACATTAACCATTCACTATGTCATTATGGAATGTGGTAAATTAAAGCAGCTATACATTGATGAGGAGATTGCCCATTGAAAGAATAAAATTGCAAGACTTTACTGTGTCCATTAACCAGCACAAAGAAATAGATATGCAAACATCTGAAGCTGAATTTACAAGATTAGAATAGTTAAACAAAGTACATACAAAAAGCATTGGCTAAAAACAACATTAAAACAGAATGCTAAGCTAAGGAACAAAAGAAAAGACGTGTTAAACTAGACAATTGAACTAGTATAAATTTTAAAATGTAATAATTTAAACTTTAAAATTCCAGGAAAGGCAAAAATTCTCTTGCCAAGTTGCAAAACATGTCCAAATACACTGCACAGGTATCCTCGACTTATGACCACAATTGAGCCCCAAATTTCTGTTGCTAGGCAAAACATTAGTTAAGTGAATTTTGGCCCATTTTACGACCTTGCTTGCTTCCCCATTGACTTTGCTTGTAAAAAGGTCGCAAAAGGTGATCATGTGATCCCAGGACATTGCAACAGTCATAAATATGAATCAATTGCCAGGAATCCGAATTTTGATCACATGACCATGGGGAATGCTGCAATGGTTGTCAGCATGAAAAATGGTCATGTCACAGTGCCGTAGTAACTTTGAACCATCACTAAATGAACTGTTGTAAATCGAGGACTACTTGTATTCAACACATTAAAATTTCTTTAATAGTTTCATCCTTAAAAAATACAGAGTATTATCCATCAAATTATCTGAGAGTGGATAACAATAAATGCTGTAGAATTTTTCTGCTTGGCTGCAAATCCCCATTCAGCCTAGAATCCTGTCATCAGAATTCTAAATCTCCCCCTCATTACAAACTCGCCTTGCAAAGCAGTAAGAGTCATTGGAAGACAAGCACATGAAGAGGGGGAGAGACTGGGCAGACATATTTTCACTCTCCCACATAGTGCGAACTCTTCCTAATTTTAATTGATGGTTTTCGTACACCTTTAACTGTTCTCCTTTAAAATCTCGTATGTTGCCCAGATATGGCCATCCTGCTGAGGCTTTCTTATGAATCCTCACCTCGGACAGATTGTGTTTTTATAGAGAGAAAGAAACAGATCCTTTCTCTGTGTGGAGCGGCATGAAACAATCTGAAAGAAGAAACAATTTACTCTTTGACTCATGACTGCAGCAAATTGAACTTCAGGAGAAGGAGAGCTTCAGGAAGAAAGAGACAGGGGCTGCCACTGTTTCTCTCTGCCTCCTGAGAAGTACACCAAGAAGAAACCTGTTCTTTTGCCTGACAGAAATGTTGTGTTGTCTAGGAATAATATAATTGGTTCCAGGCATAGGATTTGAGATGCATACCGGTACTAGCATTTGGACAATGCTGTAACTTTTGCTGTAACTTCAACAATTAATGATAGGAATAGTTTGTGTTCTGTTGCTTTAAAGGTTAAAGTTGTGGATTGTATGTCAACAAAGCTACTTACATTATTCTTGTGCACTTTAAGCTTCTTGCCTCATAGCTTGATATCTTAGGGAATACTGCTTATCACAACATTTTCTAATATTATTTGAGAAATAGGCTATTCTAATGCAACATGACAGTGTGAGAATTTATTTTCCATTATAGTTCCCTCAGATAAGAGAAACAAAAATATAATTAGGTCAGCTGAATCCAAAAGAAACAGGTAAAGGAAAAAGATGTAACTTTGGCATATTTATATGGCTGTGATAGAGTCAAAATCAATCACTGCATTCTTTGCTTAGATAGTTTTTTTTTAATTTCCATCAAGCAACAATGCCACTCCATGTGGATCAATAATACATTGAGAGGATTTAGCCCATGTTTTACAATAGACAATGTTTTACAAGTGATAATACTAAGTTTGATTACCATTAAGAGACTTTTGCATATAATTTATAGATTACCTGAAGGTGATAAAGTAAAAATCTTGCAAAATCATCAATTTTTATAATTAAGATTAGTAGCGAAAAAATCTCTTTAGCAATTTAAGTTTTGTTGAAAGTTTAATACCTATCTTGAATGGCCTTTTCTTTTTCAAGCTTGCAAGGTAGTTTTGAATACATCAGTCAAGATCAATCAAGGCTGAATTTGCATTCAAATGGCTTGGGCCAGTGTCAGAATGGAAGTACTCTAGGTAAATATATCAAATTAAAATTAGCAGATGTGCAGGGCTAACTGCATAGATCATATCCTTTGGTTGGTTCTTAACATTTCAGACTTTTCTGATCCTTGAACTGTATATTTCTCTTATTGCCCACTTTAGGTGTGTTACCACCATGTAGCAACATGTTGCTTCATGGTATACCTGAAGGAGGGGCTTTCTGGCTCATGCAGAGTGCTTTCTTTGCAGGTTTGTGTGCAATGTTGAGTACAGCATGATGCACCTCTCTACACTTTGAGATGCTGTAATATCTGTTCCCATGGGATCAATAACTACTCTCTATAAATAGAATAAAACAATTGGTCTTCATTTTTATTATTGAATAAAATTGCAAAAGATGCCTCTAATGATAGACATCTTAAAATATTGGGCTACATTAATTGAATTCCTTCATCAATAGTACTTTTTCAGTGAAATAGCACTTATTTGATGCTAAAAATTGTGTTTTTCCAGTTTTGAGAATTGTTTTTTCCAGGTTATTTTTTTTTGAAGTTATTCTTTCTTACACATACAATAAATGCTAGCGTATTTATTTGCCACACTTTTTCTGTGATTCCCACTTCCTTGCTTCAACTAAAAAAATCACCAAATGAGCTCAAATGAATTTAATAAAGGAATAATATTTTGGAAGTGGACAAATTATAAAAGTGTGTGACTTATTCTTAGAAGGATCACAAATCTTACATGCTTTCTAAATCTAGTAATCTCTTTAATATCAATTTATATTTATTTAAATATTTCTTTCATGTGGTGTTGCAACTTGCTGCTCTGCTAGCATTGATTATTGAACCAGAAGCTTTTCAAAAATAGATAATTACTGAGTGCAAATGTGCTAAGTTCTATAGTATCTAAAATGTTGGATTTAATTTAAATAATTTTCCCTAAACATGTACATTTTTGTAGCTTATAAATAAAAGATTATTTGTTAACCCATACATGAAAGGCTTTGATTCAATAAATATTTTAATTCTGCTAAGTGCTATAATGTCCTAAGAATTTGTTTTCAATTTTAATTATATTTTTCAACCTTGCAACTTTTATAAAAATATGAGAATTTCTAGAGAATTTATTAAAAACACCACATTAAAACATTTGTAGAACAGTGCAAAGTGACATATTCCTTCTAAACAGCATTCCATGCAGATAAATTGATAAATTGAACAAAGTAATTGATTCTAACTATGAACTTTTAGAAACTTTGTAAATCCTGAAAGTGGTCAGCATTTGTTTTTCTAAAATGTGGTTGATGATGAGGAAAATACATCTTTTTGTTTTGCTGGATCAAACCAAAGACTACCCCTCCAGTAGCTAACCACAAATATCAAAGTGTAGATTCTGTGGATAACATAATTTCAGTTGCACTTCTTATCTATTGGGAGAGAAACCTAAAGGCAATATATTGCTACCATGACTAGTAGCCAGGTTCTGCTTAAGATTCATTCCATGAAAATATATCTAGGGGACCCTTGTATATGCAATTTTCATGGATTACACTGTCAAAGCAATTTTGAAATTTGAAATTCACTGGTAGTGAACGCCCCCTTATTACTTCACAGAACCTTGAGGCAGCATAGGCATTGAAATTAGTAATTCTCTGGAGCCTTTGATGTTTTCTGAGTATCAAGACTTACAAATCTATAGACTAATTTTCTACATACAATAGCTTGCCCTGCCAGTGTAGATAAACATAAACAAGAAGCTACTCCCACGCCCACTAGCACTGATAATGTTACCTAGTTGGGTAATGAAATATCTGCAAGCAAACAACCAAGCACAAAGAACTTTTCACTTCATACCTGTGAACATAATAAATGTGATATTTCAAATGACACTTCCTACTGTTGTAAATTAGTTTCAGTATATTATTTGCTACTTAATAGACCAGTCCTATCTATTTTATTTTAAAGTTCTGGAGCTTTAAAAATACTACTTTTGAATCCAACTGCTAGTAGGATTTACCTTTTGAAAAGATAACTTGGATATATTCTTTAACTTTGATATTTTTAATTCAGCACATAGCACTCCTGTTGACATGCCGAGTAGAAGTCAAAATGGAGACAGAGACAGTGGCATTGCTCGATCAGGTGATTATCCTTTTCTTTGTTCCTTTCAGAAGTGTAATCAAAAACTGTAATGAAATATCACTGAGTAGATTCAGATTTAATTTTGAGATGAAATTCATACATTCTTCTTTTGAATTGTTGTTGTTAATTGCGAAGTCGTGTCCGACCCATCGCGACCCCATGGACAACGTTCCTCCAGGTCTTCCTGTCCTCCACCATCTTCTGGAATCCATTTAAGTTCACACCTACTGCTTCAGTGACTCCATCCAGCCATCTCATTCTCTGTCGTCCCCTTCTTCTATTGCCCTCAATCTTTCCCAGCATTAGGCCCTTCTCCAGTGAGTCCTTCCTTCTCATTAGGTGGCCAAAGTATTTGAGTTTCAACTTCAGGATCTGGCCTTCTAAAGAGCAGTCAGGGTTGATCTCTTCTAGGACTGACCGGTTTGAACGCCTTGCAGTCCAAGGGACACGCAGGAGTCTTCTCCAGCACCATAGTTCAAAGGCCTCAATTCTTTGGCGCTCAGCCTTTCTTATGGACCAACTTTCACAGCCATACATTGCAACTGGGAAAGCCATGGCCTGGACTATACGCACTTTTGTTGGCAGGGTGATGTCTCTGCTTTTTAGTATGCTGTCTAGATTTGCCATAGCTTTCCTCCCCAAGAGCAAGCATCTTTTAATTTCTTGGCTGCAGTCCCCATCTGAGGTGATCTTGGAGCCCAGAAAAATAAAATCTGTCACTAACCTCCATTTCTTCCCCATCTATTTGCCAGGAATTGAGAGGGACAGATGCCTTTGAACAGTATTCCTTTGAATACTGTTAGTATATTCAGAAATAGGAATTACTTGCTTGTCACTTTGTTGTTGGTATAGATCAAAAAGTATCTTGATCTTTTTTTGTGTGTGTGATGTCCACTGTTAGATATTTTCCAAGCTCATTATTGAGACTTGCCAGTCTTGATTTTCTACTATTCACAGTTTATTGGTTTTAAGATAAATGTAAATGTCATCATTATGCCACCTTCAGGTTCTTAATGCTATAAGCATATTAGAATATTGGCAACATAAGACAAAATGAGGTTTTTGTTGTTATTTATAGTAATCTTCCCTTCTTGCTGCAATGCATATAGGTTTAATTGTTACTCATTTACTCTAGTTCCCAGAATTACATGGTCATGATTCTCTTATTCCCATTTCTTTCTTTCTTTTTAATATTAGATCTCTTGTGGCTACTATTCCTTTTCCTTTTATAATCATTTCTGTTGTTGTTAAGATTTCTGGATCTGCAAGGAGTTGTGTTTTTTCCCCTTGTTGCAGGAATTGGGCCTTCACCCTGGATCTTAAAGAGTCCCATTTGCAAATGCCTACCTTGTAGGAACAAATTTTAATTTCTGAATGTGCCATTTAGCCATTTATGAAGCAGACTTGCTCTAGCCATTCTTCCTGTTTGCAAACCACTCTGGCAACAAGCTCTAAAGACAGCTGTCTTTAAAGCCATTGTAGCTCTCTAATTCTAAATTTGAGATTATATTCCAGGACTGCTATGAAACTTACAGTATTTGCTTTTTTGAAATACTGATCAAAATCCTCTCCACCCACAAGGAAAAGGCTGGGTGCTATTAACTTCTTATTGCATTGAGAGACATAGAGTACAAGAAGAGGAATATCTCTGTTATTTCAACACTACGCCTGGAGTACTATTATAATTGAAACATCACAATCTGGTTCTCATCATCAACAGTACTCTGAATCAGCACATAGAGTTGCAGATTAGACACTTGGATATGAACTTCATTCTTCAGAAGCTCACTATCAGTCTTTCTAGGAGAAGGCTTCTCTCTTTCATTTACCCAGGGCTTTTTTTCTCATAGAATGCCCAGAACGGAGTTCTGGCACCTTTTTTGGATCAAACCTTGTAGGGTAGGCAAGGTGGGTTGTATGACGTGTGTGAGTTCCGGCACTTTTTTTTTTTTTTTTAGAAAAAAAAAGCACTGCATTTACCAGAGGACAAGAGAGAAATAATCCACATCTTTCAGATAGAAACAACATATTTTCAAGTAAAAATTAAAGATAGTTTGTCATGTAGCTAGTTCAATACCTAAAGTTACAATTTCTCCATTAACTTGCATCACCACATATGGTTCTGTACTACTGGTTTTTCAAGAAACTAAGATTAATATCCTTTTGTGATGATATTTTGTTTAGCAGTAAGACTGGATAGGGTTCATAAGTTTTACTCAACAGACTACAATTGAAGTCTGTAGCTGTTGTGCTTCATTTCAGAACTACTTGTGGTTTCAGTTCAACAAATACATCAGGTGTATGTATTTGAAATGGAAAGAGTTTTCTGCCCTATTTCCATTGCTGTTTTCAGGGCAGCATTGTTGTCCTTGATATGCTCCCCAAACCAATAGTTCAGGTCCTTCTTTATTGTTTTGAAGGTATATGGTCTTCTATAACCTCTGAATTCTTTTTGATGTTTTCCAAAGTTACTGCCTTGAATTTTGATCTAAGCTACACCTATCTGCTTGCTAGATTCTAAGATAGCTTCAGTGCTATGTCAAGAGATATCTCTCCTTCAGCAAAAATATTTCTTCCCTTCCCAAGTCAATCCCTAGTTTTCATTTAAATCAGGAAATAAAATTGGCTATTTTCTTTAATAGACCTTTTTTTTTCAGAAACTATTGTTATAATTTCCTGAATGTTTAATCCATGTTGCCTAATTTATGTGCATAAATTCACAGGATCTATATAAAGAACTGCCTTTATAGATAAGTATTCAATTCTCTCTATCTCTTATGTTCACTCCATAAAATAAAAATTCTATTGGCTATCTATAATAGAAGCATGGCTTGGCCACCTTCAAGTTCAGAAAAAATTACATTCTGACAAAATTACTGACATTTTTGCTTTGTTGACAGCATCTCTGAGTAGTCTTTTGATGACTCCATTATCATCTCCCAGCTCCTCTTCTAGTTACCAGCGCCGCTGGCTTCGAAGTCAAACCACAAGCTTGGAAAATGGCATTACACCTACACCTAGAAGGTAGGTTAACATAAACATTCTTCTTGTAATATAGATGTATGTAGTTTCTATTTGCAGTCTAAAATAAATAAATAGGTCTCACTGTTGGACTGCTCTAAACCAGCATAATAGTTACCATACTTTTAATTTTCCTTTTCACATCTCTAATTAAATGAGTTTACATGAAAGTTCATATATATTGGCTAAAATATGCAAATTTACTTTAAAGAGCAATCCACCCTGGAAGAGGGGGGGGGCAGAGGAAAGGATGAAAATTTTATGTATAGTTCAGTAGTGCAAAGCTGCCTTTCTGTTTTTAAGGAATTGCAGTACTTTGTAATGGGAGAGCTTCATTTAAACTAGATAGGGTCAGTGCTTTTTGGTCCTTCAGCAAGTTTTCTCACTATCCAGATTTAGGGTTACTGAACCTTTGAGCACAAGATGCTACAAATAAACATGTTGACAGTGATTGAAAGGCTCTGGTTATAAAGAAACTTGAGTGGGTGTAATAAATAACAGAACCTTTTAATTAATAGAACTTTAGGTGACCTAGTAAATTGTTCTGCCTTGAACTAATTAGTAATGCTTAACTGACACAATGGAAATTAGCCAGGTTTCAAGATAAATAAGGAATGAAATACATAAGAAGTTAACAAACCATCAACTTGGGTGGAGCTTTGTAGAAGAGGATTCAGACTTAAAATAAGGAAGACTTTGCTAGTCATAAGAGCTACAGTCTCTGTCCTGGAATCATGGATGCTCCATCTCTGAAGGTTTTTAAGAAAAGGTTGAACAGTCATTTGTCTGGGATGCAATGAGATTCTAGCAGATAATTAGATTACAAGACCTCTAAAGATCTATTTTCCAACCCTATAACTCTGTGAATAATCTAATGGGAAGAAATACCACTAATTGCTTCCTGAATATTAGAAGAAACCTCCACATCTAGTGAAATGTGCTTCATATGCTTCATGTGTAATTATTAACACCCAATTGCTATGAAGGTTCTGCTATTATATTCTTGGTAGACTCAACCCTCATTTGAAATATGTTAGCCTGTCATTAGTTGAATCATGTATTGAGACGTAAACACTATCTTGGAATCTTCTATGAGTTAGTGGAAAAAGTCTGAACTCAACAGAAAATAACTTAATTAAAATGGGGTGATATTGCCAATATTCTCTGTAGTCATTTCACTTGTTCAGCCAGAATTGTGTTCATTTTAGATCAATTTATTTCAAATCCCTTGTTCAAAGCTTAAGAGTCTTATCTTTGTTTTTATTATCCCATCAGGAATTGCTGATTAACATAACAGAATAACAAAGTTGGAAGGGACCTTGGAGGTCTTCTAGTCCAGCCCCTGCTCAAATAGGAGACCCTATACCATTCCAGAAAAGTGGCTGTCCACTCTCTTCTTAAAAGCCTCCAATGGTGGAACACCCACAACTTCTGAAGGCAAACTGTTCCACTGGGTAACTGTTGTCACTGTTAGGAAGTTTCTCCTTAATTACAGGTTGCTTCTCTCCTTGATTAGTTTCCATCCATTATTTCTTGTCCTGCCTTCAGGTGCTTTGGAAAATAGATTGACCCTCTCTTTGTGGCAGCCCTTCAAATATTGGAACACTGCTATCTTGTCCCCTCTGTCCTTTTTTTTTTTACTAGATTAGACATAGCCAATTCCTGCAACCTTTCTTCATATGTTTTAGCCTTCACCCCCCCCAATCATCTTTGTTGTTCTTCTCTGCATTCTTTCCAGAATCTCACCATTTTTTTTATATTGTGGTGATCAAAACTGGATGTAGTATTCCAAATGTGGTCTTAGTAAGGCATTATAAAGTGGTACTAACACTTCACATGATCTTAATTCTATCCCTCTGTTAATGCAGCCTAGGATTGCATTGGCTTTTTTGGCTGCTATAGTATACTACTGGCTCATATTTAAGTGATTGTCCATTAGAACAGGGCTTTTCAACCAGTGGTACTGGTACCACCTGTGGTACATTGGCACCTGGCAGGTGGTACACGACCATCCTAGAAAAGTAGCGGGAGAGGAGAATGAGCTGGATCGGTGGCAGCACCACACAAGCCTGAGCGAGAGATGGCTGGAGCTGCAGGGCTGTCAGGGCTCAGCGGAAGCACCAGTATCAGTGCCGCTTTTCAGCTGATCGGCGCTTCTTCGGGGCTGTCAGGGCTCAGTGGAAGCACCAGGATCAGTGCCAGGCTCCAGCTGGAGCTCGGCACTGATCCTGGTGCTTCTTCTGAGCCCTGAAGAAACACTAATCAGCTGGAAAGCAGCACTGATCCTGGCGCTTCTGCTGAGCCCAGAAGACGCGCCGATCAGCTGGAATGTTGCAGCATCTCCAGTGTCTTGTGATTTACATTCAGATGCTTGGCAACTGATTCATATTTATGATGGTCACAGTGTCCCAGGGTCATGTGAAGTGACCAAAACCTGCTGCAACCACCCAGCAGACGGGAGGAATAAAAACCAAACACTCCCCCACCCTACCCCGCTGCCAATCCTCAACAGAAATGCTCATAACAATGGAAACCTCGGACAGGAGGAAGAGTGCCGCCGGGTGGGCAGGCAGGTGTCTTGCTCGGCTGTGGCTTGGGGGGCACTTTTTTCAGTGCCATTGTAACTTCGAACAGTCACTAAGCAAACTGTTATAAGTCGAGGACTACCTGTACCTGTACTTTATCACTTTTTTCCTTTTTTTTTTTTTTTTTTTTTTTTTTTGGTCATCAAGTTTTTGACACCTTGCTAGGCGGCTGGTGGTACTCGGATGTTGCCATATCCTAAAAGTGGTACAATGGGTGAAAAGGTTGAAAAGCCCTGTATTAGAACTCCAAGATCCCTCTCATAGTTACTGCTATTGAGGCACGTTTCACCTATTTTGTACCTGTATATCTGGGAGTTTTTTTGTCTAAATGTAAACGCTTACTTTTCTCTCAACTGAATTTCATTTTGTTGGATAGGGCCCATTGTTCCAGTTTGTCAAGATCTTTTTGGTTCTTGAGCTTGTCTTCTGGGGTGTTGGCTATTCCTGCCAGTTTAGTGTCATCTGCAAATTTGATTAGTTCCCCTTCTATTCCCTCATCTAAGTCATTTATGAAGATATTGAAGAGTACTGAGCCTAAGACAGAGCCTTGTGGTACCCACTGCTTACTTCCCTCCATGTAAATGTAGTACCATTGAGTGGGATTTGTCAACTGGTTACAAATCCATTTAGTGATGTTGGTGTCTATCCCACATTTTTCAAGGTTGTTGTCTACTTTGTCAAATGCTTTATGAAATCCAATATACTATGTCCACAGTATTTCTCTGATCCACAAATTTAGTCATTTTGTCAAAGAATGAAATAAGATTTATTTGGCATAATCTATTTTTGACAAACCCATGTTAGCTTCTGGTAATAACTTTGCTTGCTTCTAGTTTTTTGCAGATCTGTTGCTTGATTATCTTTTCAGGATCTTCCCAGATATTGATATCAGGCTGATTGGTCTGTAGTTTCCTGGATCTGTTTCCCCTCTCCCCCCCCCCTTTTTTTTTTTTTTTTTGAGGATGGGAACTACATCAGCTCTTTTCCAGTCTTCTGATAGTTCCTCTGTGCTGCATGATGTTTGAAAGATAGGATTCAATCATTCTGAGATCATGTCTGCCAGCTCCTTTAGAACTCTGGGATGTAATCCATCTGATCCTGGTGATTTGAACTTGTCTAAAGTACAGGTGTTCTCTTACTATTTTCTTGCCTATTTTAATTTGTATTGCTAGTCTGTATTTTATGGTTCTGTTTTTGGTAGGTTGGGCTATTTTTGCTTTTTGTGTGAAGAGAGATGCAAAGAACGAATTAAGCAGCAGTGCTTTCTCCCTGATGCTCATCACTTTCTTGCCATCTTCTCCCATTAGTGGACTGGTTGTTTCCTTGACTTTTTGTTTCTTTACATTGAAAGAAACCTTTTATTATTTTTGACATTTATTGCAAGTAGCTTTCCTGACTCCATGTTTGCAAATTCGGACTGTATGCTGTATGCTGGTATTCTGCCTTAGTAATGTGTCCCTCTTTCCATTTTTTATACTTATGCTTTTTGTCTTTCAATTTATCAGAGAGTTCTTTGTGCAACCATCCTGATTTCTTCTTGGATTTCCTAGTTTTGTTTTTCAGAAGAATTGTGCTGGATTGCGCTTTTATAATAAGATTTTTCAGAGTTTCCCAAGCTTCTTTAGTTGTTCTCCCCTTTAAGATTTTCATATATTGAATTACGTCCAGTATAGCTGACCCTCTAGTTCCTCTTCTACCTTTTGGATAACAACATTGTCAGCTAGGATCATAAGGAACATGTTTGATCTCCCACTTGATGTAGAGTTTATCTCCCAGTTGATGTCAGGGTAGCTAAAGTCCCCCATTACTACTGTGGTAGGTTTCCTACATACATTTGTTAACTGATTAGCAAAAAGTTCATCTATTTCTTCTGCTTGTTTGGGTGGCTTATAGTATACACCTATGGCAGTGGTGGTGAACCTATGGCACAGGTGCCACTCGGAGCCCTCTCTGTGGGCATGCACGCCGTCGCCCTAGCCCTAGGCCTTCAACTGGGTTTTCGCTTTAGGCCTCTGCCACCGGGTGCAAAAAAAAAAGGTTTAATCAATCAGTCAATTTCAACTTCTCACGGGAAAAAAAAAGATCTAGCAAAGTTGGAATTGATTGATTGAACTTTTTAGTCCCACCCAGACTGCCGTTACCACTGCAGCCATGCCCACCCAATGGGCAACACCCACTCGGCACCCGATGATGCATAAGTGGGTTTTGGGTTGCAGTTTGGGCACTCGGTCTCTAAAAGGTTTGCCATCACTGACCTATGGCAATGTCATTCTTTTTTCCTTTTACGTTAACCCATTTGCATTCAAAAAGGCTTTCATGCTTGGTTTTATGCATTTCTGTAGTTGCATAATGATCTTTTACATATAATACAACTCCCCTATTCATTTGTTAGGTCTGTTTCTTTTCAACAGTTTATATCCTTCCAGCAGTACATTCCAGTCATATCATCCCATCAAGTTTCGATAATGGCAACTATACTATATTTGCCCTCATGTACCAGTACCCTATTTGTTCCTCAAATTTGAGCATTTGTGTATAGGCATCTGAGTCCTTTATGGCTGACCCTGGGCATGCTTCCGACATCTCCTGTTTTATATCTTGAGTTTTTCTTCCTTCCCATCACTCACTACTTCCTTGTTTGATTGGTTTTCTGGGAGTTTATGTTTGGGATTAGGTTCTAAAGATTCCAAACATTAGTCACCCTCCCCCTCTCAGATTTAGTTTAAAGCCCTTCGGATAAGCTGAGCCAGTAGTTTTCCAAATACATTCTTTCCGGTTCTGGTGAGATGCAACCCATCTCTTGCTAGAAATCCTTTATGTAGGTAATGCAGACCATGTCTAGGAATCCAAAATTCTTTTGTTGGCACCATCCCTTAAGCCAGTGGTTTGTTTCTAAAATCCTTTATTACCTCATTGATGTTGACCTTTTGTTGGAAGTACAGATGAAAACACTACCTGTGCTCCTAATGCTTAACTTTCTTGCAGAGCTGCTCATAGTTTCTTGATATTATTTTCATTCATCCCTAATGAAAGAGAAGAAAAAGGTAGTAATCTAAGGGAGTGATTATTTTAATAAGTCTCTCAAACACACAAAATACCGAATAACTGGTTGAGAGGAATTTGGTAGACATACCTCTCCATAAAAATATAAAATACAGTAATGTTTTAGTATTAGGGTCTTAAGCAAATCTCAGTATGCTGATGGTCTTAGTAAATTGTGATTACACTGTATTTTTTAATAATACCAGTCATTTCAATATGTGTAGTCTTGGTTTCTATTGGTATTTATAATTATATATTCAATTATATATATTGCAAAAGTATTAAAATGATTTTGATCTACATTCAGTACAAACATCAGGGCAATCATAATAAAATAAAATAAAATCAATAAAATGATTTTTGCTATAAAATGCTTTCTTGTAATCTCAGGATAATAAGTAATAGTGTGTATGAGCTTACAAGTAAGACTTCTTAAAAAATGAAAGGGAAAAAATATCCTCCTTTGTTTCTGAACTTGGTCTAAACATCTAAATTGTATTCCTATCTTAAGAAAGGTTGTTTATTTACAGAATAAGTGCAGGTGGCATCAGCTGTCCTTTCAGTCTTAGGTGCACCATTCTTTTTTTCCTTATTGACCATTCATTAGACAATCAATGGGGATCAGATTACCATTTCTTCACTGCTTTTAAGAAGAGGAAAATACATTTTTTGTGAAGGGTATTGAAAAGAAAATGAGATAAAGTGAAATGTTGAAATTGACTGAAATGTTCACAGGGCTGAGATAGTTCCAATGTAAGGACCCACCCCACTTTGCATCTTAAGAAGACAGAACTCTTGGAATAATTCTTCCAACAGGCATCCTTTATTAAGAGAAAATGGTTGCAGGCATTCTAGACAGGACCTGGGGCCCAAACCCTATGGTTCAAGGTTTTAAGGGATCCCCAGCAGCCCCAACCCACCCTCTTTCCAGCGACAATCCCAGGCATTATATTTCCACCCCCTTTTCCTTACTGCCGGCTGGATGGAGACTTCAGAGAAAACTACATGAAAGGTAATAGCCCCCTTTGTTATGATTAGGCCTTTTGGTGCTATCCACATTCAGTTCCTTTGAAGTGTACTGAAGGAAGTGAGGGCCATAAAGCCCCTTTGTTCACCCCCTTCCCTTCATCGTATGACAGAATCCATAAAAGGCAGAAATGGGGTTTTCTATAGTTGATAATTAGAGATGAAATATAATTGGATTCTGACATCCTGCCCCCTCAAATATAAGACAGATTCACCTGAAAGAAAACAAAACAGGTATAAAAGTTAGTCAGGCTTGTTAGGATATTCTGTGTGAAACTTCTTTAAAAGCTTCGGGGCTCTGACATGACGTTTATGGACCCACTCGTTTTGTGAGGCAGGGAGGTGTTTCCAGGCAACTAGGTACTGAGTTGCTCCATGATATCTCCTAGAGTCTAGAATTTCCTTTATTTCAAAGTGTTGTTCACCCTCCACCATGATTGGAGGTGGTGGTGGGGGGGATTTTTGGCTGTAAAGCTGACTGATGCTCTCTTTCCAGGGAGTTTTCTCTCTTTCTTGCTCCATTATTTGACATGGTAATTTTTTGCAAAATCCCCCGGCAAGGGTCTCCCTTCCAGGTGGATTAATTTTGCAAGTCCTGTCTAATATAAGAACCCACCCCACTTTGCATCTTAAGAAGACAGAACTCTTGGAATAATTCTTCCAACAGGCATCCTGTATTAAGAGAAAATGGTTGCAGGCGTTCTAGACAGGACCTGGGGCCCAAGCCCTATGGTTCAAGGTTTTAAGGGATCCCCAGCAGCCCCAACCCACCCTCTTTCCAGCGACAATCCCAGGCATTATATTTCCACCCCCTTTTCCTTACTGCCAGCTGGATGGAGACTTCAGAGAAAACTACATGAAAGGTAATAGCCCCCTTTGTTATGATTAGGCCTTTTGGTGCTATCCACATTCAGTTCCTTTGAAGTGTACTGAAGGAAGTGAGGGCCATAAAGCCCCTTTGTTCACCCCCTTCCCTTCATCGTATGACAGAATCCATAGAAGGCAGAAATGGGGTTTTCTATAGTTGATAATTAGAGATGAAATATAATTGGATTCTGACATCCAGCTAGGTTCATGCTTCTCTAAGCTCACACTGTGATTTGTTTAGTTTTGGCTTAATATACAGGTATGTGGAACCCTAGCCTTTATGGTTTTTCTTTATTGATTAGTCTTTATTGAATGAATCATGTCTAAGACAAATAGTGGCTTATCAAGACCCAGTTCTGTTTAACTGAATGGGATTCTTGAGTGTATCACCTTGTTATGCATCAATTAAAACACTTAAGCATTTGCTAGCAGCTGAACATATCTTGCAACTTTCTTCTCCAATAGGTCAATTGAAGAAACGTTCAGTATGGCAGATGAAAGCTGTGGCCTCAGTCCTGCACTGATTCGAAGGAAGAAAATTGCGATCAGCATCATTTTCACCCTTCCTGAGAAAGAAGAGGACCAGAGAAATTTCCAGGATTTCTTCTTCTCTCATTTCCCCTTATTTGAATCACATATGGGCAAGCTGAAAAGGGCAATTGAAATGGTAAAGCAGTGAACAAATTTAGTTTCTGTGCTTACCACCTCTAAGTGAGTAAGAATGAGAGATAACATATTAGGTTATCTCTAGAAATTTTGTAACTCAATTCTTCTTCAGAAGTTTACGTGCTGAATTACCAAAAACTATTATCTTTCTAACAATTTCAGTATCTATTTTTCCTGTACTTCCTGAATGCTGTGAATATAGTCCAAATAACTGACAGAAGGGTTTGCATGTAGAATTAACTGTACATGCATATATCCCTCAATATGTTTCCTATGCAAGCAAATTTCTAGATTAGAAATTTATAGCTTTACAAAACATTTGTTCTAGATAGGTGCATTGTACTTGTAGCCATTAAAAAATAGGACAGTGGGCTGGGCTGGCGACATACCCCTTTCCTGTGCTTTAATACAATATATCGGTGATAAATCTGAAGGAGGTTTAATTTGCACCCAGCATTCCTCCTCATTTTTAAATAAGTCCTATTGTGTTCCCTTCCACTTAGGTTTATTTAAAGCCTTTTTATTTGAGTGCATGACTTGTGGTAGTGCTTCCTGAACAGACTTTTCAATGCATCTACCTGACTGTCCACTTTTAGGTGCCAAATGTTTTACTTGCCTTTTTTTTTTCTTTTTTTCTTTTCTTTTTTACGGGAGGGGAAGGTTCTAAGGCAGTGGTTCTCTACCTGTGGGTCAGGACCCCATTTGGGGTCGAACGACCATTTCACGGGGGTTGCCAAACAACGCAGTCCACCATTTTTTCCCCTTTTCCTTAGCTGTGCTACTCCCTTTTATTCTATTGGCTTTTGAAAGCCAATAGAATAGACTCTCTTGAATAGAGTCTAATTCTATTGGCTTTCAAAAGCCAATAGGAATTGTCCAGGCTGTCTCTGCCCTGCTGAGCCCGCCAAAAGTCCCATTCTGCAAACGGTGCTGCACCAGTTGAGTAGTCCTCGACTTATGACCGGTTGAGTAGGTCTCGACTTACGACCGGTTGGGGGGTCGCGGCATTAAAAAGGTTGAGAACCACTGTTCTAAGGACTGTACTGAGAGGGTTAAGGGAACGATGCAGATTAGTTGAGCCTGTATCATACTTGTGGTTGGGGCTGAAATTTTCTAGTTTTCTTTTTATTTGGTGGGGTAGCCTACTTCTGTAGTTTTTGGATACTTTCTACTTCAAAAGAGCTGTAGAATTTTTTTTTTTTAAATCATTTTAGCTGAAGGTTTAGGTTGCACGCATCTGCTCTAGAATTCTTTTCTTTGTAGGCAAATACCAGAAAGAAGAAAGTGTAAAAACTTGTATCTCAGGTTTGATGTCTCAATAGACATCCAGAAAGAACCACCTTTGCATTTATTTTTAACCCATTCTTATTTTTCCCCCTAAGGCTATGATCACATGTAGAAAAATAACAGAAACAAACCAAAGAGTGCAAGTTTACATTAGCCATATTATGGATGCACTGGATGTATTTAGGTGAGTTATTGTTACATCAAATTTTATTGGCATGGACAAGATACGCATCTGTTCTTAAGATTAGTCTATTTCACAACTCAGATCCTGTTCTTTTTTTTTTTTTACTCTTGTCCTTGCACTAATCTATAGATCGTTCTCGACTTATGACCACAATTGAAACCAAAATTTCTGTTGCTATGTGAGACAGTTGTTAAATGAATTTTGCTCCATTTTATGGCCTTTCTTGCCACAGTTGTTAAGTGAATCACTGCAGTTGTTAAATTAGTAACATGGTTGTAAAGTGAATCAGGACTCCTCATTGACTTTGCTTGTCAGAAGGTCACAAAAGGTGATCACATGACCCCGGGATGCTGCCATCGTCATAAATACATGCCAATTGCCAAGAGTCTGAATTTTGATCACATGACCCTGGGGATGCTGTAACATTCATAAATGTGAAAAATGGTCATGTCATTTTTTTTCAATGCTGTTATAACTTCAAACAGTCACTAAATGAATTGTTGTAAGTCGAGGACTAACTATATATTTGTGTAGATTTTAATGAAGATTGTTTGAATCTTCTTCACTTGAAACTAAACTAAGGTTGAAAATATTTCAAACTTGATTTCTGTAATAAGTTGATAATAAATAGAGAATTCCTACATTTATTTGTTGACCTCCCCCTTCTCTTTTTCTTCAAATCTTTCAGGCTAACTTATGCTAGAAATGATCTTGTATGTAACATTACTTTCTGAAAGAGGCAAAAGATCATTTGTGGATAGTGATTTATGGGATGGTGATGTCATTTTTGTTCCTGAAACACACACAACATATACCTGCAGTTCAGAAACATAATCTTTTATTCAGTGGTATTCTGGAGTATTGGCTTATGAGAGCTGATTGTTAAACTTTTAGGCATTAAAAGCAAAGCTGACCCCCAATATCTAGCATGCAATATATTTTTGGCCACAAATGGTACAGTAGCAATGGAATTACTAGAACTGATTATTAAATATCAGCTTGCAACTGCCTTTACCTACAGCAGAGTATCCATAACTTTATAATATATTAGGATAGAAGAGTTTTTTAAAAAAACAATCTGCCTTGTTGACTTCAACCCTCATAACTTCATGGACGTTTCCATGCCATTTACTTTGTGGCAGTACAGAAGTCATTTGCCATTGCCACCTTTGAGTATTACTTACCAATATACCTGGGATTTTGTAATGGTTTCCCATCCAGGTATTAGTGAGGTCCAATTCTGTTTAGCCTTTTTAGAGTCTGTCAGATGCTCCTATTTTTATTGGATAGAATTTTTTAAAGTAAGATTTAAAGCTGCTGTTCTTTAAATATATGTTGGTTGGTTGGTTATAATAAGTACCTCCATTATGTATTTATACTATGATAAATGCTTCAATGTCAAGGGATCACTGTCAACATTTTTTTTACTATATATTTTAAGCCATTGTTTTTCTTTGTCTTTTCTTTTTTTTGAAAAAAATTTATTTTCAATTTTACAATACATAACAATCTTACAAATACTTCAGATAAAAAATAAAACAAATTGATACACACCACATTCGGTCTTGCCCGCCCATTTCCCCCCAAACTGCATCCCACCTCAAACCAAGTTACTTCTTTCCCTCTTTTTCTTCACTCACCCCCTCTCCTCCTTCACCTCAACCTTCCTACTTACTTCTCACCTTCTTCTTCTCCCTCTTGATGCGGTCCAGGGGAAATGCCCGAGCAGTTCCTCTCTCAAAATTAAAACATTATTATATACAATAAGACTATTTCTACTTTATCTGAACTACTTAACTTCAACCCATCCACCCCCCCCTCCCCCCACCCCCACCCCGACTTCCCAGAGCAAAATACAGGATTATGCAAACATATCAAACATAATCTATTTAAGTTTACTAATTATACAATGAACAAAATCATAAAAACCCTTAACTCTCTTCAAACTTTAACATCATAAGTTTATAAACAAAATCATTACTCATAGAATAAGTGAAACTTTGTAGTTCCATATTTCTTTTGAACATATTCTATCTTCTCCATACGTTAAAATATCTCTCTTGTGAATGGTCCTTTAAATAAGCAGAAATTTTAGCCATTTCTGCTAAATTAGAAAGCTTAAATACCCATTCTTCTAAAGAAGACAGAGAGTCTTTTTTCCAGTATTGACCCACCAATAATCTTGCTGCTGTTATTAAGTTCAACATTAAAATAGTTTCTTTAACATTAAAATCCACAAAAATTTCCAAAAGAAACAGTTGGGGAGTAAACTTAATCTTCCTTTTAAAAACCTTTTGAATGTTCCACCAAATCATAATCCAGAAGGCTTTAATAACTTTACAAGTCCACCAAACATGAAAATAGGTTGCATCCAAGCAACCACATCTCCAACATTTAGGTTGCAGGTTCAGGTACATACCGGACAGTTTTTTAGGATCCAGATGCCATCTATAAAACATTTTATAAAAATTTTCCCTCAAATTCTGGGCCTGCGTCAATTTAAGATTTCTAGTCCAAATTACCTCCCATAGGTCCAACGAGATCGGTTCTTGAATATTCTGGGCCCATTTAATCATACAATCTTTAACTAACTCTGTTTCTGAATCCAATTTTATTAACTCATTATAAATTCTTTTAATATGGGCACATTTCTGATCCTTGATCTGAATTACCAAATTTTCATCTACTAAAGTAATTCCCACTTTCTTATCCAAAGTCCATCTCTGCACGATTTACAAATATTGAAACCACGATTGTAAAATATTTTCTTGCCTTAACACATCAGAAGACTTTAATTGCCAATCAGTACCCGACCAACTCTTTATACGAAATGTTGTCAAAATTCACCCCCTTAGAAACCCCCTGGATTGCTTGTCCAGGGATCCCCCAAATAGGTATTTTATAATTTAATTTATAATAATATTTTTTCCAAACTCGAAGTAAAGCATATCTTAAAATATGTGACTTAAAGACCGAATCTACTTTCTTATCAAAAATTAAATATGCATGCCAACCATATAATAAATCCCACCCTTCAAGAACAAGAATATCTCTATTTGTTAAATTAAGCCAGTCACTTACTAAAATTAAAGTGGCCGCATCATAATATAATTTCAGATTTGGTGCTTTAAGTCCACCTCTTTCTCGAGCATCTTGTAAAATCTTAAACTTTACCCTTGATTTCTTCCCACCCCAAATAAATTTATTAATACTCTTCTGCTACTCATCCATTGTTTTTCAAATTTGGCAACTTTAGGATGTGTGGACTTCAGCTTCCAGAATTTCCCAAAATGCATGCTCTAAGCCACTGGTTCTTAACCTTTTTGAATGAATCGCCCCCTTGAGCCAATGAGGAAGTTGTCATCCCCCCCTCCCCCAACATAACCTCTTAATCACAACATAGGAAATAATTCTTCAATTTATGCAAACACTTTTTTTGTTTTCTTTAAAATTGTCATCAGGACATATCGATGCAAATAATTTATTTCCAGTCTTTTTCCCATATCTCCCATATTCTGGCCAATGGCATACAACTGTATGGGTAGAGGCTGCTGTGCAATGCGCATGAAGATAAGCAATGCGTATTCATATATGTACGGCGTTCTGTACTGAAGCTAGCTGGAGGAACATTTGAAAACACAATTCAATCCACTAATAGCGAGCGATCTGATGTTTTTGTATGACAGATATAAAGCGATTTATTGTACGAAAAAGTCTCAAAAGTGTCCCCAAAACGTCTCGCCCCATCGCCCCCATATCGCCCCCTTTTCGTTCCTTCACCCCCGTACCACCCCTTTTCATTCCATTGCCCCCCTGAAAAATGAAATTGCCCCCACTGCTCTAAGCCATTAGTTAGGCCATTATGGTCCCAGAAATAAATAGTACACAGTTGTATAAAATAGAGGCCAGTAGTATTTGTGACTAAATAGTTGATTAGGAATTCTTCAGTAGCATGTTTAATAATAGTAACTTGCAGCTGGGTAATTGTAACTTTTCAAGTTATCACACTGCTGGTTAGATTTATATGCCACCTTCCTGAAATTTCAAAGGTGCTTTTTTCTTCAAAAGGCAGCTGGACTGTTGTTTTTTTCTTGAGGACAAAGAAGAAAACATTTAGCTTCTCACCCAAGAAACTTTGTCAGTTCTGATGGGGGGGGGGGAATGATGAAGCTTCGTGGATGAGAAGCGAAACATTTATTTCTTCTTTCCCAAGGAAAAAACAATCCAGTCCAATTTCTTTTTGAAGAAAAAAAGTACCTTTGAGATAACTATGACTTGGATGACTGAGAATCTCCAGAGATATGTTCCTGAAACTTTCAGGAAACAAATGATGGATTGAAAATGAAAAGCAGAGCTGATAACTGCAGTTGAATGAGGAGCTTGCAAGTAGACTGGGTCTTTGATAATTCTTCTCCATACAAGGAGAGGACTTGAGTTCACAGTGTTCCAGAAAGCTGCTTCTTGTGAGAAAACCACAGTCTCCAGTGGAGTTAGTGCTCTGGGAGTCAAGGAAAATAGCCATCTACGGTAGCTCAAACTGTGGTCTTCACCTTTGAAAAGACATTAAATTTGCATACTTTTCTAGTCACTTTCAGAAATTGCTTTTTAACTGCTTTTTAGCTGTTAGGAACCTTTGGATCGACAAGTTTGACAATGAGTTTTCTTCAATCTTTAATGAAAGAAGTTTTAACTGCAAGTTTAACAAGTTAAAAAAAATGGGATAAAAAACAAAATAGTGATTTTGATTTTAGAAAGTTAAATGGACTAAGATTTCAGATAAATTTGAAATAAGATTTTGGAATTAATTATATAGTATCCTTTCCATAGGAAAATGTTTTTTGATTTTTTTAAAAATTAAAGATAAAAATTGGAAACTAGAGAGAATTAGAATGAATTAAAGATTACAATTAAAGGAGAACACTCAAACTCAATTTACAATTACAGAGTGAAGAATATTGAAGAATATTTGTGAATAGTGGATTCAGAAGTTAACTTTAAGAGTGTCTGAGATAAGACTTTGATTAAAAGATATTGTGGAAGAGGAACAAATTTTACCTGACAAAATCGAAACTGATTTGAAAATGTCAAGCTATAAAAATGACATGTAAAAAAATGTTGCAGTGCACATTCAAAAGAAACTGACTGATGTTTTTATAATTAAAAGGGATATATAAATAACAAACTAAGAGAATGACCTGGATAATTTTTGTACATTGAATTTCCAAAAGAGGCTTGTTAGAAATTTTGAAGAATTTGTGAGAAGGGACAGAGAAAAAGTGAAAAACCAAGTTCTAGGACATATTTAAATAAATAGTTTGAAGGAACTAAAGATCAAGATAATTAGAAGTAAAAGGAAGGAATATAAAATTGGATTATTTAATCAAGATTTAAGTAGATATGTTATTCTCTTTGGTAACTTTTAATAGTCTTTAGTTGATCAGGACTAAAACGAGGTTTTAAGGATTTATTTATAGATCATAGATGAGACATGGGAAGAAAAGATCATTTGCTGTATTTAAAGAGAAGATGATAAGTTATTAAAATTGTTTATACTTGTAATGAAGGAGAAAGGTCACTTTTTATATTTCTTTTTCTTTACTGTATTCTTTTGTCTGTTTTTTATTTTCTGCACATTCTAATTTTTATTTTTTTCCATTGTATTAATTGTTACTAGTGTAAATGTAATTTTTAATAAAAATCTATATGCTACTAAAACTCTCCTATTTGTGTGTGGGTAACTTTTAACTGGGCAAAATGGTGCATTATAAAGAAACAATTTTTGAATCAAAGTTCCTCAAATGGATAACTTACTGTATGTGTCCAAAATCCAGGCAAATTTTATACAATGTTTTATGATCTAAATATTATCATAAAACATTTCATCACACAATACAAACTTTGATAAAACATTTCTTATGGTCAATTCCTGATTTTTGACCATGCTATATAGTTTAATGTGGGCTATTTTCCAGGGAGATACTTCTCTGAATATCTCCCTGAATTTTTATAAACTTTTGCAGCAAAGGCAGTATATTAGAAATTCTGCCAGTGTTATGGAATTTGCCAAGAAAATGTCTCTGAAACTATGATCCAATGGGTCACAGGTCATCTAATTACCCTTAACAATTTATATGCCACCTTTTCTTCAGGAGCACCGTGCAATATCCACAGCACTGCCTATTTTTCCATTATGCAGCTGCTTTTTGTGGTAGAGCAGAGAAATACTACCTGACCGAAAGACTGCATTCAAACTTGCATTGCTAGAGCTCCAAAACCACTATATCAATCTGGGTCTCTACCCTGCTGAGCACAAAATATATGTGGGAAGCTACTAGAGTTGAAAGAAAAGCAAGAATTTGGCAAGAATGTCATTCATTTGGCATTCAGTCAAATTAAAACATAAATATAAATCTTGAAAAGTGAGTGGCTGGTATGAAAGAAGTATATTGATGTATTTTGGTTATACAGAGAGAATGAATGATGATAAATTGCAAAATACATATACAAAGGAAGAGTGAATAGATCAAGAGGAAGAACAGCAGGCAAAATACTTTTATATTTGAACCATGTCCTCTTGTTTAAGCTAACAAGATCCTTTTCTTTTGGTAGAACTACAATATGGAATTTATACACAGTTCCAAGGATTGCAGAACCTGTGTGGCTTACTATGATGGCCTGTGCTTCAGAAAAGGACCTGTTATGCCAACACTTTCTCAAGGAATTTGCTGTTTTGATAGAACAGAGCAGCAAAAACCAGTGAGTAATATTGTTTTGTGTTACTCCTCTAGTTTGAATGGGTGGTTTATTGCAGAGATACAATTTTGTTTCTGCTTCTTATTTTTATAGGTTTTTTGCTGCTCTGTTAACAGCAGTGTTAACCTATCATTTGGCCTGGGTCCCTACTGTGATGCCAATTGATCATCTCTCTATCAATGTTTTCTCTGAGAAACATGCCTCACCATCTGTGAACATGCTGGCAAAATCACATCCGTACAATCCACTTTGGGCACAACTTGGTCAGTACAAAACTTTATATCTAAAATCAAGATGACTCTTTAAGCATGGAAGATTTCTTTTTCCAGACAGAAATGTGCTCGTATGCACAAATGTTGATTTATTTAAATTTGTAATGGCACCAAATCCTGTGGGATTTTCCACAGTTAGAAATCCATGAAATGTTCATGACAGAAGGCAACATTAAAAATAAATAGAATCAGCCATAAAAACATGCAAACATACATTCGGGGCTTTTAATCAATTTCTGATTGAAAGACTGTCTTTTTGGTTTGATAATCAAGAATTACCTTGTGGTAAGATGGGAGGCCAATAAATTTAATAATAAATAAATAAAAGCCTTTAAAGTAGATAATGCATGTACCTGTAATAAGTGATTATGAGTGATATTCCAGAAGATCATTCAGAAATCCACTGAACAATTATAAATCACTTTTCCAAACTTTTTTTTTGTAAACAAAATTCAAATATTTAGTATCAAATATAATGGCTTGTTCCTTCCAATTAGAAAATTATAAAAGTAGGTTTGTCTTGTGAGTCAGATTGTTACTTTCATGATGCATGCTCTTTAGTGATTACTAAATAGCTTGCACACTACAAAATTGGGTTTAATTCTCTTTTGACATCCTTATTAATTAAACATAAATGCAAAAACATATTTTCATGAGAGACATAATCTGAATCACATAAGTGCCATGATTTGTATTAATAATTTATTTCAGAGCCCAGTAAAAGCATTGTGACATATACATTAGATCATTCTGGATCCTAAATGGAAGTCACATTATTTAATTACCCCTCTCCCACTCTCCCAATCTGGACTAGGCATTTAATTTTTATACTTATAAAAGTAGAATAAAAGGATGTTTCTCTGCAAAAATTAAACAGTGGAACATCCAGTCACTATACCTGACAAGACTTCAGCTTTTTTCTGTAAAAAGTCTAAAATTATGTAGCTTGATCATAAATTATCTAAAGTAAATGGATATCAAATATATTTCATCTTCAACGTTTCTAGATAGACTTGCTCAGATCTTTCAGAACTCAATTTCGCAGTTATGCTATTAGTATTTAAATCAGAAGATTATGTTTTAGTAGCAGTTAGAAATTGCTACCATAATAGCTATGCTGACAATTGATTTTAGCTGTCTCATCTTGTTGCCATAACTCTGAGATATGCAGTTCTTTGCATAATTTTACAAAAAGTATTCTTAGAAAATTAAATTCAGTTGAATATTAATCTTCCTCTACTGAAATAAATATAATAAAATTGAGTTACTAAAGTGGATCATTTTACTGAGATGGTTTATCATTTAAGATGAAGTAATAATAACTTAATGATTTTGTTCTTTCTATAGTTAGGTTAAACAAATAGATTAGATATTTGGCCTTGGCTTTTGATGTATATTAATTTTTTAATTAATTATTATTTTTTCTTTGCTCACTGTGTTTATTTAGGTGATTTATATGGTGCTGTAGGTTCACCAGTCAGAATGGCAAGGACAGTAATTGTTGGAAAACGTAACGATTTTGTTCAGCGCATTCTCTATGTCCTTACTTATTTCTTACGGTGTTCTGAGTTGCAAGAGAATCATCTGTTCTGGAATGGGCAGCTTGGCAAAGGAGAGCAAGCTGTGAATGGAAGGAAAATCATAAAGACTCTAGAAAAGGGAGAAGTTGAAGAATCTGATTATGTGGTTGTCACAGTTCAAAACGAACCTGCTCTTGTACCTCCTGTCCTGCCTCGAAAGAATGGTGGTGGTGGTGCTGATGTTGCTGCAGAACATGAACGCTGCTTTGAATCTGCCTGCTTCAAGGGCAGGCGTGAGAGGCTGAATGCCAAGTGCAGTTCTGAAGCATCCCCTTGCTTCTCCAGAGTTATCTCCCCAAAAGGAATTGTAGGGGAAATTAAGAAAGGGAAAACTTCAGTTAATTCAGAAACTGCATGTGGAAGGCATGGTTTATTAGAGGATTTAACTGCAAGAATGAATGAGGACAAGCAGCACAGTGTTACAGGGCAGTTGTTTCAAAACTTGACAGCTGTTCCACATTCTAAGAAGATTGCCCAGGTGTATTCTCAACTGGAGAAAGTTACCTTCCAAATTGGAAGCTCCACCTCACCAGAATCTGATTCTGAAACCCAAAGAATGGAAATAAACAAAACTCTGGAGAAACGCAGAAGTAAAACTAAATCTCTATGTACTCTATCAAGTCCATTACATATAACATCTAGGGTCTCACAAGAGAAATCTGACTTCTGTCTTAAAACCTGCACTAGCCAGAAAGTTAGTGAAACACAAATGTCAGGGGCACCTTGGCTGCTGTCAGTTCCACAATCTGTCATTCTTGGCAGAATGGTAAACCTGGGGAAACCAGATCAAGTTTATAATACAAGCTGTGAAAACTTGGAGAGAAATTCTCTTGACTGTGATTCAGGAGGTTCTACTGATGTACAGAGGTCTGGCCAAGCAGTTACCAAGAAAATCCCCTGTGGGGATGTCAAAAGCAAATTCCATTGTAGAACGGAGGAGAACATTCCTAGAAACGAAAGTTCTGATAGCGCTCTTGGGGACAGTGATGATGAAGGTTGCATGTACATTCCAGACAAGCAGTCAATCACTGTTAACTGTAGGCCTGAAGAATTTTTAGAAGTGGAACTTGCTTTGCCAAGGTAAAGAAAAAAATAATAACCAGAATCTCTGAGGGCTGTTTTAGTTTTCGTTTCTTGCACCGTTTTGAGATGCATGGGTAATAAGATGTAACCTGTTTTTTCATCATCTCCATCTGATTCAACTGATTCTTAGCCAGAACAATGGAATCTTAAATTTCAGTCTTAAACTGTGGACAGGTACATTTACCTTGAGTAACATAGTAACAGTTTTTAATATATACCAATGTTAACAACATGAGAAGCTATATGCTTATTCTTGTTACTTTTACATTCTGTACATGCTGCTCCATCCTGTTATTTCCTTTCTGGAGAAGAAACATTTGTATCAAGTGCAAAAAAGAAGGAACAAATAGTAAGCCAAAGAAATCAAAGGCAGGAACAAAAATAAAAGAATATTGCTGAGACTGTCTTATACTAATATAATTCACCATATTCTGTATCTTTGCTTTCAGTAAGTCCTTATACAGATTAAAACATTGCCTTTTCTTTATCCAGCTATTTCTGTTTCCTCTTGACACATTTAGTTTTCTTTCATATATTTGTTCATATGTTCATTCCATCTACAGTATATGTCCAAAACAGATCAACTTCCTTTTTTTTTTTACTGGCCACTCACTTTTATGTTTGATCTACATACATTTAGCTCCCAAGTATTCTTGACTATCTCTTTTATTATCACACACATTGTCTAGGTACCCTTTTCTCTCTACATTCAATTGATTTATGTTTCTCCTGACATATCCAACCATCACTGCCTCATAACAGAGTAAGCAGAGTTCACTCCTATACATAGTTATTTGCACTTATTTCAACAAGGTTATCTATGATTTCCTATTTTCATACCTACCTATGATGGTCAGGATGTCCATTTATGTTTTCTGACATACATTTAAATTTGTCATATACAATTAAATCTACACCATCTTTTCCCTTCACGTATTTATCAATTCTATTATTCAAGTTCTACTTTAATTCATTTTCATTACATTTTATTTTATTCCCATACACTATATGAAAATTTATACTTGTTTTTCCTTCTTGTATTTCATTTGTTAATTCCCATATGTTACTAATTTTTCACGATCCATTCTTCCAAATGCAATGAACTTCACCAGATGTTATTGGTATCAATGTCATGGCTTTGGTCATTGAGGTTATCACAAAATACTTTGTAGTAACTGAAAGTATAAACCAGCTTTCTTGGTCTGTGCCACATGCAGCCCTTCCACATAATGGTAAGACCAGTATTAGTCAGTTTAGTACATTTTGACTAGTAGGCTGTAGTGTAACCAAAACTCAGTTTTACCCCAAGGACGCTCATCATAATCAGCCCAAACTAATACGTCTAATCTGGAAAGGCTTTGCAAGCCAATGTAATGATCCTCACATCAAATTATTAGGAAGTATATATAGTTTACCAATATGCACTCAGGTTTACTTGTTTTTGTTATTAAAATAATATTTATTAAGTAATTTTAAAAATTGTTTTAATTTATCATTACAGGTAGTCCTCAATGTATGACCACAATTGAGCCCCAAATTTTAGCTGTAAATTGAGACATTTTTAAGTGAGATTGGCCCCATTGTATGTACTTTCTTGGCATAGTTGTTAAGTGAATCACTGCAACTGTTAAGGTAGTAACATGGTTGTTAAGCGAATCTGGCTCCCCATTGACTTTGCTTGTCAGAAGGTCACAAAAGGTGATCACATGACTCCGGGACACTGCAACCGTCATAAATATTAGTTTGCCAAGCATCTGAATTTTGATCACATGACCTTGGGGATGCTGCAATGATCATAAATGTGAAAAACAGTCATACATAATTTTTTTAGAGCCGTTGTAACTTCAGGTGGTCACTAGATGAACTGTTATAAATCGAGGACTACCTGTATACCATATATAAGATTTGCTGTCTGAATGTAATTTGTTTGACCAAAAAAAATACTAATATAAGTTTATTCTGTATGTTTATAATTGTGCATGTTCATATATATGTATATGGGGGGAGTGTTTCACTACATTGATAAGACATAACCTTTCCTAAATATGTTTCAAGTACATGTTTTTATATTACATTTTTCCATTTTTTGTTAATAGTCTCAAATGATCGTTAAAAATTTTTACTATAAAAATGAGGATACATTTCCTGGATTTATGGTCTGTTTAACAGGCTCTGAAGATAGATAGAGAAATTGTACTGTTACTAACTCAGAAACTGAGGTATATTTTAAAATATGTAATTGTAATGGGATGCATTATGTGAAATTTGTCTAATCATTAGTTTCTTCTGAAAAGAAGATAGCAGAGGATAAACCTTTCAGGTAATTAGTAAGTAACGTCTTCTCACATGAAAGATACATATCTTTGAATTTACTTCTATGATTAAATCTAATTATATAATGGAATTACTTACTGTTGTATATACACATACTATTACAGTGATCCATGTAGGCTGGATCTGACTAAACTTTGGAGACATTGTTTAAGTCATTAGAATTCTGTTCAATTGTGTTCAGTTTTCTGTGAGAAAGATTCAGTAATATAGAAGTTTATATATCAGAGTGAATGGTATTTCTTCACCATTCTTGAGCTGTAACCTTAAAAAACAAAGCAGATCATAATGTCATCTATTCAGATCCTGTTACAGTCTTGCCAGTGTCATACTGATTATTTTTTGTAGGACCCTGAGATGTTTTCAGTAAACAGTAAATTCTTGATTTTCAGATTTTGCACAGTTAGTACTCAAAGCATGATACATTTTGGAAGGTCACTTTTGGGGGGCTATTGTACCTCTTATATGCCTGATCTAGTGCTGCATGGAATAAGTTCTGATGAACAACTTAAGCAACATTTATCAGCTGAGTTGAATCACGCCATAAATGTAAGTCTGTCCATTTCTATGGAAAGCTTTAAGAATAATGTTTGGAACATGAAGGGAAAACTTAGTTTTGTTTCATTAGTAACATTAATTGTAATTTTTGCTATTTGTAGATAGAAGAATAGTTACATTCTGATTACATCATAATTGGGCTCTTATAATTCAAGAGTCCTTGGTGCTCTCTCAGCTTGGTTGTTTTCTTGCAGTCATTTCATTATAATTGTAAATCTTATAGTTAATCTTATAATTCACTCTACATAAGGCTTAAAGATCACACAGAAGCTGCGGCAGTTTGGAATGCAGCAAGCATAGGCACTTATAACTATACCATGGTATGCTCATTTAACACCTCTGATTTTTGAAATGCACTGGTTCAATTCAATTAACAAAATTCAAGGTGCTGATTATCACCTTAAAGTCCTTCATGACATAAGCCTTGTTTTTTGAAGGACTGCCTGTCGTCAATAGTTCTTATCCATGCCATACCTTCTGACATAGTTGGCATGCTCCGGGTGCCAACTCTGCCATGACTATGGAACATCATTTCTCATGAGATTTTTATGGCTCTCATCCTGACCTTATTTAAATGTTTTCTTAAAGCCTGGCTGTTCCTTCAGACCTTGGGTTAGAGTAGATTACAGATCCACTCTATTTATGGTCTACCAAATGTATATTGTTTGTGTCATTTTATTTTGTAAGCCACCAGAATTGTGATGTATTGAGCAGTCTATAAATTTCAGGAATGAATAAATAAAATATTGATTAAATTATTCAAACACCTGATATAGAATAGGTCTGCAAGTGACTGTTATCAATTATAGTCAAAATGAAATCTTCATCTCTGAGAAAGAAATAATATTTTTAGGCTGGAAACAAACTAGTAAAGTCACTTGCCTTCAGGCCTTTCTTTGTGACCTTGCAAAGGTATCTGCCTTATAACTGGCAACAAATAATGAAAATCAACTTCTTTCAGGTTCCAAAATTTAATTTGGAGGAGGAATTCTCCTAGATGTAGCATGTCTGCCTTGCCTTTCAGTCATATTAAGTGATGATATATTAATTCAGTCATATTAAGAGCTATAATGCAGAATGCATCTCTGTACAAAATTCTCTAGGAAAGTATCAAGAAACTCCTCGATTCCAAAGTTTTTGGAACAACTTTCTCTGTACCTACTAGTACATTGAACTGGATCAACTGAAGAAAGGCACCGCTGGTTCCCTTTATAATCCAAACCTGCTTTTTAAAGTTTGCAGTTTAGTCTAACTAAAATTAATTGGGATTTAGTTTAAGTGAATCAGAATGTGAATTATTTGAAGTCAAAGTGTACATTAATTTAGGCTAATATTGTCATGACTGGTTTGTGGCAATGTAGCTGGCTTTCTATCCCTCACTTTTCTAATTGGAACAGCTAGAAAATGAAAAATTCCTTTTTGCATGCTTTCAGTTGTGCCTCTTTCTAATCTGTGTAGCTGTATGTTCTGCATTTACCCTCTTTGTACTGGTCCAGAAATCACTACATATCCATGTAGATTTCCAGCCTTGTGTAATTAAACGGAGGGCCCCTGTTCATATCTGCATCTAATCTGTGCACTGAAAGAAACCTTATAGCACAAAATATATCTGAAAAGATAATCTAATTTTAAAAGCATATTTCTCTCTATATTAATCTATTATTAGGCTATAGAAGTTTATCATTGAATAAATTACTCTCAAGCTTATCACTTCATTTGGCTATGAGCACATTCTTTCCAGAAACAGTAGATAACAACTGACTAATTAAATATATTTACAGGCTGCCAAATATTTCTTCTATTATGCTAGATAGATTGTAGGTTTTATTCTTAAGTTTGAATTCAAAATGACTCTTAATACAGGCATTTTTCTGAAAACAGGAGCCATCCAGATTTTGACATAAGATGGCAGCTATATAAATTTTTTAACAATACATAAATAAAATGTCTTGCTTCACTTTGTTTTGTTATGTATGTTTTACAGCATCCTGTACTAGATGAATCTATAGCAGAAGCTGTTTACATTATAGCAGATGCTGATAAATGGACAGTTCAGGTGGCTACTAGCCAGAAAAAGATGACTGACAGTATAAAACTAGGCAAAGATGTCCTTGTCTCCAGCCTAGTATCATCTTTATTACAGTCTGTTTTACAACTTCACAAGCTTAATCTTTCTGCTGACTTTGTAAGTACTCATTTACAAACATGCGTGTACAATAAATATAGATAAAGAGAAAAGATAAAATGTGCTCCAGGTTTTTGAACTGCATGTATTTCTGCACTGATTTTCAGACTTAGATGAGGCACTGTGGTGACTAATGCTTTCTTTTCCTACATGCTAACTATGTTAATCTAAAGGTTCACCTTGGCAATTGTTGAAGATCTGATAACTGTTCTTCAGGAACTTTTCTGACATTAGCCCTGTGGTGGCCACATCTTTTATATCATATGAGCTACCAAATGAAAGGAAAATAGTTTCAGCCACTGAATATTGTCCTAAATACAAATATACATACATTCATAACAATGTGACTCTGGGTAGCATAAAGCATAAAAAAACAATAGATCAAAAAGAAAAAAACCACTATGTAACAATAAGCCATTACAGTATATAAAGATAAAATGGTGACAAGCACAGAACAACCATAAGGAGAGACTGTCATTCAATTGGCCCTGAATGCTTGGGGGAAGAACTAGATCTTAATGACTTCTCTAAAGACTAGAAGTATTGGTGCCTGTTGTATGTGTGTGGGGGGAGAGAAGGAGCCCACACATGTTGGAGCATGTGAGTAGACATATTCTTAGGATGCTTAGGCAGTGCTTGATTAGTCTTGGCTTCATTAGAAGCTTATTTGTCTAAATCAATAAAACACTGAATTTTAGTGTGGCCTGAACAAAATATTTTTATATTTATAAATTGCAGACTTTATTATAAACTATTTGATTTTATCTCTGGGTTTCCCGTTCCATTTACAGTGTATAATGCACCTTGAGGATCGCCTACAGGAAATGTACCATAAAAGCACAATGCTATCTAAATATTTGCGAGGACAAACAAGAGTTCATGTGAAAGAGCTTGGAGTGGTATTGGGGTGAGTACTGCTAAAGTTAAAACCTAAGGCTAGGTTATATATCTGTAAAAGTTGCATTGACCATCTAGAAATCAAACTGGGCTGTTATATTAAATGAAATTTCTAGTCCTCCTTTATTTTCTGAATAAAATAAAATTTTAAAAGGCAGATGCTCTCAAGGACTCTCTCATATGAAGAGCACTCTGTCAATTTTGAATTGAGGAAGGAGTTGTCTGTGAATTGCCAACAAGTCCACTACAGAACAGGTGACTTTCACTTCTGAAGATGTCAGCCACAATTGCTGACAAAACATCAGAAAAACAAATAATTAGATCACAGACTATTAATCTGAAAGCTCATGACCACTGGAGGATCCCATTACTTCATTTGTAATTGATCAATACTGTTCATGCAAGGCAATAAGACTAACCAATTAAAATATATAAATTAAAAAATGGATTGAGAAGGGGAAATGTATCAATTTTAATTATTTCTGTCTTTAAGATCAGGAAATCTTGTTTTAAGCATGTCAGGAGATGTAGGTGTAGTGTAATATTCATCAGATAGCATTATATTTCTGACAAATAATAATTGCTGCATTTTTATTTCTGAATAATTAAAAGGGAGGATGTTCTTTTCATTGTCCTAAGACCATCTTAGAGGAATAATTTTAATCATGGTTACTAACGATATTTTCAGTGCAACAGAGGATCAAGAATTGATCTTCAGGTTTCCCTTCTGGCAGGGAAGATTGCAAGCTGCTGCCACCTGCCAAAGAATTTTCCTTCCCTTCCATGTATTGAGGGGGGTGGTAGCAGAAATCCTTTGTCAGGCTACAGAAAAGAAGCTCAGTGTCAGAATCCAATCATATTTCATCTTTAATTATCAAATATAGAAACTCCCAATTCTGCCTTCTTTGGATTCTGCCATAAGAGGGAGAGAAGGGGGAGAACAAAGGGGCTTTATGGCCCTCACTTCCTTCAGTACACTTCAAAGAGCTGAATGCTGAATGTGTGTTTATTGTAACATCAAAGCGTTAGCACTAGAGAACCTTATCATAACAAAGCAGGATACTTGCCTTTCATGTAGTTACCTGAAGTCTCCATTCAGACGGAAGAAAGAAGAAAGGGGGTGGAATTGTGATACTTGAAACTATCACTGGAAGGGGGGTTGATTGGGTGGGACTACTGGGGAACCCCTTAAAACCTTGAATGGGAGAGCTTGAACCCCAAGTCCTGTCTAGCATGCCTGCAACCATTTTCTCTTAATAAAGGATTCCTGTTGGAAGAATTATTCCAAGAGTTCTGTCTTCTTAAGATGCAAAGTGGGGTGGGTCCTTACATTAGACAGGACTTGCAAAATTAATCCACCTGGAAGGAAGACCCTTGCCGGGGGATTTTGCAAAAATTTACCATGTCAGACAATGGAGCAAGAGAGGGGGAAAACTCCCTGGAAAGAGAGCCGCTGACCCAGTTGGAACCTTGCCAGATGTTGGGATCCGAGAGGCCAGATTCCTCAGGAGAAGAAGTGGTGGAGACACAGGACCACAAGCCTCGCTGGTCGATGGGCGTTGGAAAGAAAAGTGAGTGGGGAAAGGAATCAAGAAAGGTGACCCTGAGACGGGGGACCAAGCAACCAGAATGGAAGCAGGAGATGGAGAAATCCCTGCACGCAAGTGAAGAGGGAGGAAGCTGGGCACCGTACTCAGACTGGATCCTAGAGAAAGCTATTGACCTGATGAAGAGAACTCTCAGCTCCCTAGGAGAGGAGAATACTGAACCCTACGGCCGCCCCAGTTCCTGGAGCCGCAAAGGGAGAGACACCGAGGGGGACATGGAACCTGCAACCCCAGGGACATCTACTGATCCAGGAGCTCCCACCCCCTACCGGACCACAGATGGCAATCTGGACGGAAGGCACTACCACCCACAACAGAGGCACCGATCCATTCCAAGACGTCCACCGTTGGAAGTGAAATTCAAAGGGGAGCCAACACGCTTGGGGTTTTTCCTAACCCAAGTCCTCAGCTACATGGAGGAATATGGGCAGGATATTCCCAGCGACAAAGCCCGCATCCGGATCGTGCAATCTGCCCTGGATGGACCAGCTGCGGATTGGGTAGTGAACTTGCATGACTCCAATGCCCCAGAACTCAGTAACTTCAACCGTTTCATGTCCTCTTTGAGAAGACGATTTGAAGACCCCCTGGCTGATCGCAAAGCCCGTGAAAGAATAACAACGATGAGGCAAGGCAAACGCCCAGTGGCTGAGTATACACAAGAATTCCGGGCCATTGCCAGCAAACTGAATTGGCCAGAAGACATCCTCCTTGGCCATTTCAAAGACGGACTAAACTATGATCTATATGATGCTTGCCTGCCCCGAGGGGACCCACATCGACTTGAGGAATGGTACGTCTTGGCAGAGGAAGCAGAGATCGACATATTGAAGAGGCACCGCCGAGGAAAACAATGGAGCCGCCCCCCGCCTGAGCTGACACACCAACCGGTGAAATCATCGGATACAGCCAAGAAGCAAATGGGGTGTTTCAAGTGCGGAAGAGAAGGGCATCGAGCTGTAGAATGCCGCTCAAAGGCCCCCCAGCACAACCCAGACAGATCCCCAATCAACAAACCCGGAAAGTATTCAGCTAAGCCAAAAGAAACGGCCATGAGAATGATGGAAATTGCAGAAACCCCCACCTCTGCTCACCAAGGGGAAAGGACTCCAGCCTACACCACAGGGCCGGTGGATGCCTCAGATGACAGCTCGGAGGGCGAACCCCTGGTAAGTGGATGCATCACACCCATCTTCAAAACAGTGACTATATTAATCCCCCCCATGCCCGAAGCTGTGAAGGTGAAAGCCTTAATAGACTCTGGCTGCACCCGCTGCCTCATTAGCCCAACACTAGTGGGGAATCTGGGCATCCCATCCAGGAGACTGGAACAACCAATCTCATTTGGCCAGTTAGATGGATCCATAGCGGGGGGGGGGTGCCAGCTACCCTAGCCACTCTACCAATACACCTCTCCCTGGGCAAACATGAAGAGGACATAACGTTTGTGGTGACCCCAGGTATGGAATGCCCAATGATTCTAGGGATGGAATGGTTGAAAAAATGGAACCCCTGGGTAAATTGGAGGACGACAGAAATCAAATTCCCGAAGGGGGACCCTATGGACTTAAAACCCCAAGGGAGGCTACCAGAATCAAGAATAGAAAAAGCATCCATAGGAGAGGAAAAAAGATTAACAGAAATACCAGAGGAATATAGGGACCTTGCTGAAGTCTTCAGTGAGGAGAGGGCGAATGAGCTTCCCCCCCACCGACCCACAGACTGTACCATTGAATTCAAGCCTGGGGCAAAACTCCCGAAGCCCAGATTATACTCCATGAGCCCAAAGGAGAAGGAGGAAATGGAAAGATTTATAAAAAAAAACCTGGAGAGAGGTTTCATTGAGCCAGCCAAGCCTAAAGTGGCTGCCCCGGTCCTTTTTAGAGAGAAGAAGGATGGCTCTTTACGTTTATGCGTGGATTATAGGGCCCTGAATACAATCAGTGAAAGCAACCTATACCCGCTGCCCCTCATGAAAGACATGCTGTCACACCTATCGAAAGGGAAAATTTTTTTCTAAACTAGACTTAAGGGAAGCTTACTATCGAGTGAGAATCAAGGAAGGGGACGAATGGAAGACTGCATTTAACTGCCCCATGGGGTGCTATCAATTCAAAGTCTTGCCATTTGGATTACAAGGGGGCCCTGCAGTCTTTATGCAATTAATCAATGACGTTCTAAGGGAGCACCTGTTTAAGGGGGTCCTTGTTTACTTGGACGACATTCTTATCTTTACTGAAACAAAAGAAGAACACGTCAAACTTGTCAGAGCGGTTTTAAAGAAGCTGCGAGCCGCTCACCTATATGCCAAACTCTCAAAATGCGAATTCCACCAGGAAAGGATAGACTACCTAGGCTATCGCATATCGCCACAGGGCATTGAAATGGACCCAGAGAAGGTCAAAGCAGTACTAAATTGGGCACCACCCCGCACAAGAAAGCAACTACAAAGTTTCCTGGGCTTTGCAAACTTTTACCGCCAATTCATCCCCTCATTTGCCCAGATAGCCTTGCCCCTCACTAACTTACTAAAAACGAAGGGAGCATCCTCAGTAAAACCTAGCCAGCCACTAACATGGACAATGGAGTGCCAAGCAGCGTTTGAGAGACTAAAGAGACTTTTTTCTGCCGAACCAGTACTAAGGCACCCAGACATGGACAAGCCCTTCGTAATACAGGCAGATGCAAGTGATGTGGCAGTGGGGGCTGTGCTATTACAAGAAAATGATGATGCAGTATTGCAACCCTGTGCATATACATCCAAGAAACTCACGGAAACAGAACAGCGCTGGCCCGTATGGGAGAAGGAGGCTTATGGGATACGTTGGGCATTACTCACGTGGCGACAGTTCCTGGAAGGCAACAAAATCCCCTTCCAGGTGTGGACTGATCACAAAAATTTAGAAGCCCTGAAAACTTCCAGGAAACTCAATCCCAAACAAGCCCGCTGGTCCCAGCATTTTCACCAATTCCAATTTAAGCTCAAACATTTACCAGGAAGAAAGAACTTCCTGGCAGATGCTCTATCTCGCATGCCCCAATATAACAGCGCACGAACCACAGACTCTAGACCAATAATGGCAGAGTCACAACTGGCAGCACCAGTAACCACAAGAACCCAAGCCAAATAAAACCACAACTGGACAGCCAAACTGGAATTGAATTCAGAAAAAGTTTGGAAACAGATGAATGGTTCCAGAAAAACAAAAATGTGTGCACAATGAGAGACGGGTTGCCTTGGGTAGGGGAAAAGTTATATATACCAACAACTCAAAGAGTAACTTTCATGCACCTTTGCCATGACACAAAATCAGCAGGGCATTTTGGATTTGTAAAAACTTTACATTTAATTAAACGGCAATTTTGGTGGCCATCCATGAAAAAGGACATTGAAAGTTATATAGCCAGTTGTCCAAAATGTGCCACGGCAAAGAGGTTGCAAGGGAAAGTGCCAGGACTATTGCAAACAGTGGCAAGTCCCTCAGCCCCCTGGAGAGAAATAGCCATGGATTTTATAGTGGAATTGCCAGAAAGCAATGGGAATACTGTGGTCTGGACGGTCACGGACTTGTTTTCCAAACAGGTGCACTTTATCCCTTGCCAAAAGATTCCCACTGCAAAAGCCTTAGCAAAACTTTTCATCCAACACATTTACAGATTGCATGGGGCACCCCAACGCATCATCTCTGACAGGGGGGTGCAATTTACGTCTGCATTTTGGAAGGAATTTTTATCCCTCTTAGGAACCACTCAGGGACTGACATCTAGCCACCACCCTCAAGGAAATGGGGGGGCTGAAAAAATGAACTCCGTACTTAAGCAATATTTAAGATGTTTTCTTAGTTTCCAGCAGACCGAGTGGGCGGACTTACTCCCTTTTGCAGAAGTTGCCTACAATAATGCAGTCCACTCCAGCACAGGTTACACTCCTTTTCAAATAGCCACCGGTCAAAGTTTCAACCCCATGCCAGAATTAACCCCAAACGAACCAACGATCCCCTCGCTGAAAGAATGGATGGAGAAATTACAAAACACCTGGCCAATAGTCAGAAAAGCACTAGATGAAGCTAGGCAGGCATATAAAACACAAGCCGATAAAAAAAGGGTTGAGCCTACACCATTCATTATAGGAGAAATGGTGTACTTATCTACAAAATACCTAAAGTCCCTACAGCCCTGTAAAAAACTTGGACCAAAATATATAGGACCTTTTCCAATTAAAAGAATCATAAATCCAGTAACAGTAGAATTAGAATTACCCAAAAATCTCAGGCAAATACACCCAATTTTTCATTGCAGCTTGCTGAAAAGAGAGCATCAGTCACCTCTACGGCCAAAAATCCCCCCCCACCACCTCCAATCATGGTGGAGGGTGAACAACACTTCGAAATAAAGGAAGTCCTTGACTCTAGGAGATATCATGGAGCAACTCAGTACCTAGTTGCCTGGAAACACCTCCCTCCCTCACAAAATGAGTGGGTCCATAAACGTCATGTCAGAGCCCCGAAGCTATTGAAGAAGTTTCACACAGAGTATCCTAACAAGCCTAACTAAATTTTATACTTGTGTTTTCTTTCAGGTGGATCTCTCTTATTTTTAAGAGGGGCCGGATGTCAGAATCCAATCATATTTCATCTTTAATTATCAAATATAGAAACTCCCAATTCTGCCTTCTTTGGATTCTGCCATAAGAGGGAGAGAAGGGGGAGAACAAAGGGGCTTTATGGCCCTCACTTCCTTCAGTACACTTCAAAGAGCTGAATGCTGAATGTGTGTTTATTGTAACATCAAAGCGTTAGCACTAGAGAACCTTATCATAACAAAGCAGGATACTTGCCTTTCATGTAGTTACCTGAAGTCTCCATTCAGACGGAAGAAAGAAGAAAGGGGGTGGAATTGTGATACTTGAAACTATCACTGGAAGGGGGGTTGATTGGGTGGGACTACTGGGGAACCCCTTAAAACCTTGAATGGAAGAGCTTGAACCCCAAGTCCTGTCTAGCATGCCTGCAACCATTTTCTCTTAATAAAGGATTCCTGTTGGAAGAATTATTCCAAGAGTTCTGTCTTCTTAAGATGCAAAGTGGGGTGGGTCCTTACACTCAGTGTCAGATGCCTGACTTTGCTTTCTTTGAAGCTTGTTAGCAACTGCCATAGCCAGGGGAGAGGGGACATTTGGAAGGGGAAGAGCGTTGAAGGTGTGAAAGAATGCTGTGAGACTTTGGGGAGTATGGACACTAACAGGAACCAGAGGTGCCAAATCCAGGCATCTGCCTGTCCTTAAGGATGCCAGCCCTGGGAAAGGAGTTTGCTGCGGCACCTGAGGCACCAGGTTCACAAAACATCGGACCAGGACTGTAGTGGACTACTCTGGCTAGGGGGGAGGACTTTGGATGTTGGTGATCGCTTTCATTATATGCTTTTTGCATGGTTTTTCTTTAGAGCTCGCCTCACGTTGCACTCAGTATCTCTAGTAAAAGTACCTTTTCTCTAACATCTATGAAGTCAAGGGTCATTCTTTCCTAGGGAGTGAACTGTGGCCAGTCTGACACTCAGATTTTCAGGAACCCTGCTTGTTTTTTCCCAGCCCAGCACTTGAGGAGGAGGAGAGGAATTCCTGCAGTTCTTGCAGAAATGAAGCAGGGATTGTGAAGATCTGAGCTTTGTTTCTCCAGCCCAGTGCGCATGTTCCTTTCCACACACAGCCAAGGAATACCTCTCCAGGGGGCTGCAGAAACTGAAGCTTGAATCCCAAAAATCTGAGCTTCATTTCTGCAGCCCACCAGAAGAGGTCCTTCTGCACACAGAAGAAAGCTGCGTTCCTTCTTTTAGCAGGCAGCTCTTTTACTCTGCCTCCTTAATGACTCTTGCAGTCATTTAGTAAAGCGGTCATGTGGCTGTCTCATTTAATGACTGCTTTGTTCAATAGCCAAAACTCTGGTTCCAATTGTGGTCATAAATTGAGGACGTAGTGTCCTTAATAACCTATCGGCATTCCCACAAAAGTCCAGTCTGTTAAGTTAATTACTATTGCTATTTTCAAAAGCATTTTCACCATAAAAAGTTATTTCTTTGGAGGGGGGGTTACACCGTCCCCTTTATCTCTTTAAAAAAATGCATCCCAGTTTTGCTAATTTTTTTGCTTTTAAGTTAAAATTATTTAAAATAACTTTTTTCGCTTTCTTCAAATCTAAAAAAAATACATTCACCATGTATCTTTGATCTTTACTGCTGTTTGGAATATTTTTCTTAGGTTATCAAGTAATTAAGTTTAAAAGTGGTTAAGAAAGACTTTTGCCAGTCAAATTCTATTGAGGCTGCACAGCACTTAAGGACACTTTGTAAATCCCTCGACTCCCAAGCTGCTCAACTTGCTATTGACCATAAGCAGCTGAATTCATGTGGTCTCCTCACCCGGAGCAGCTCTTTCAGAGTACGAATAGATTGTTCCAATGATCTCTCCTTCCTCTGAAGAGATTTTTGTCCACCAGAACCTGCCTGGCAATTCCACCACAATGCCGTTCCCACTTACGGCATTTCCTGTAGGGATGCTTAACCTGCCATCAGTCCTACTTGGAAGGCCAATATTTACTTGACCTTTATATAGCATCCCAGGAGGCCATCTCCACCACCCCCCATAAAAAAGTGAGTGGTGCCAGTATAAATGCTTTATTCATGTCAGAAACACGGTCAAATTGTAGATATATAATTTTCAATGTTGAGAAAATAAAATAGATATAAAATAGATTATAAAAGCATGTGTAAAAGTATTTAATATAAATAGGGTTAAAACTAAATGATATTAGCCCAGTATTGGGCCACATCAACAGTATTTTCTATCATCAGCATGATGTCTTCCTTCATACATAAATCCTAAACTTGATTTATTTTTAATTTAGTTAGATTTATAATAATAAGTTAATTGAATACAATTATTGTGAGCACTGCCTGTGTGTTTAATTGCTAAGCACATTAAAAACAACAATTTGGCAACAGAATCATAAACAGAATCAGTGGTCTGGGAGTGGGCTGCAAGATGTCTGTTCTTGGTTTAATGGGTCAATTTGACTTCTTCCCCAGTATGCGTTCTCTACTCTATTATTGGTACAGAGATTATCAATGATATAATTTGAAAAGCCTTAGAATAGTGGTCCCCAACCTTTCCAGCTCCACAGACCAGCAGCAGGAGGGGGGAGGGGATGGTTTTGCACACCCGCCACTTGTGGTTTCCAGGGAGTTGGAGTTCCCCGCTTTAGAACATTTAAATGTGAATATCTTCTTTATATTTACGATCCCAGATCAATAAAAATATAAACATAATTTTTTAAAGAAAAAACACTCATAATGTTCAAGAAGGTGAATACGTATGGAATGCTTAAATAACTTTATGTAGCTTAAATATTAACACTTTCTCATTTTCATTTCTAGGATTGAATCCAATGACTTGCCACTGCTGGCTGCTATAGCAAGTACTCATTCACCATATGTAGCTCAAATACTCCTCTAAACTAAAGATAAACTCTACTCTCCCAAAGATTTGGGAGTGAATAAAAGTCACAAAAGAAGAGATTTTATGACAGCAGTTCATTATGTCTCATTTGGTTTCCTGCCTTTTATGTGGATATTTATCAGTGAATTTTTAGTTTACATAATATAAAAGAGATTCGGGATTTTTATATTGTTCATGCATCCTTGTATTTTAATGAATGAAAGGATTAAACATTAATGATGGATATGTTGTTTATATATAGCAGCTAACTAAACAGACTGTCAAAAATACAATTTTCTTCTTTTGGCATTTGTCATATTTTTCTGAATTTCTTCAATAAGGGGGTCTAAGCAAATTGTTTGAACATATATTTTCCTGTGTCTGTATAAATAATATGATAAACCAATATATCTGTCTGCACCGAACTGCCTCTCTTTAGAAGAAGGGCTCAGAATTCAGCTATTAGGTAACAACTTGGTTGGCTGGCTAGTTCTTCAAATGGGTAAAGAAAGCCAAAAGACTTTCAAGTTTTATTCAAAAAGAAGAGGAGGGAGAAGAAGAAGGAAACTTTTGTGTCATCAGTAAATAAAAGTGGGGGGAAACTGGCATAAGTCTGCTTCAAATTTACCTTATTGCAAATGAAGGTCTCATCGTGAATTCTAATTTCTGATTTATGTGAAAAAGTAGATGAAATGTGGAAATTTATCCTGTGCTACCAGCAAAAAAAAAAAAAAAAAGCTAAGAAAAATATGGTTATAAACCCACATAAACTCTGGATAGCTTATTTTGAATAGTAATTATATCATTGCACTGATAACTCTAGCTAAACTGTATAAACAGGATTCACCTTAAAGTAAATGATTGAAATATTCAGAAGAAATTCCAGATGGTCATGTGGGAAGAGAGAGGTAAATATAATGACAATCACTCAGTCATTAATTAGGATAACTACAGATACATGAACAATCCTACAGAACTTTTTATACTAGCTTTTCAGTGCCTTCCACTGTCCTGAATCTAGAAGAACTCATGAGACCAGGCATAAATGACATCCATCCCTAGTTGTCTAAAGTAATACATGCATCTCTATGCTTGTCCATCATGGGTTTCAAATCTAGGATTTTACTTGGCTTGGGGATAAGAACCCTGTAGCCTTTCCATTGTTGTTATCCTCTTGCTTCCCTATCAACATTGCCTCTAGTGAAGGATGCTGAAACTTGTAATTCAGCTATATGGGAGCCACTATTTTCCTATCCCTATTTTAAGGCATAGGATTCAGTATAGAAGCTGTAAAGTTTATTGAGTACTTTGAATTATCATGGCACATTAGAAGGGAGTCTTTTAAGAAGGCTCCCAAATGGTTCAGTGAGGAGATTATTTTAGTCTTCTAATAATATTTCTGTATTGAAACGAACAATACTACATGGAGGTATAAAGTGCTGGCAACTGACATAAGTGGCACTGGTAATTTTTGATACAAAGTTTATCCATGCAATGATTTAACATTATACAATTTCTTTGTTTTTCTTTTTTATTTATTGTTCAGTTTTATCAAAGCTTTCATTACAACATTTAATCCTCTCAGATTTTGACATTCCTATTTTATGGCATCTAGAAATGTATCCTTGGCAGCATTATTCTCTACTTGCTATTATACCTGCTGCAACCACCCTTTAAAAAAAAGAGGAAGAAACATTATTTCTTTCTAAATTGAGGCTCCATTTTGAAAAATAAAATACTGGGGATAGTTTTTAAATTTCCTTACATGCCTTTTCAAGATATACATTCTATGCACATTAATGATACATTATCCTAGATATAAAATATTACCTAATAATATATTAGTAGATAAACTCTTTTAAAAAATGTATTGATAGCTTCCATCATATTTAATAGAAAAATAGCCTAGATTAGAATTGTCTTTTTAAGAAAAGTAAACTATTTTCACCTTTCCACCTAAAATAATACTACCTCGGTTAACTGAATAAATTGCTACTAAGGTCAGTCTCAGATTTCTGCTTTTGCTGAAGAATTGTATCCCAAGCATTTGTGGGACTATATGATTATTCGTGAATGATTTTTATTAGTATGCTTTAGTTTAGTTTTTTTATAGTTTTAAAGATAAATGTGCAGAAGAAAAACTGAAACTGACAATAATAGGAAATAATGTCCTCAATTCAAAAGATTCTCAAATTTTTAAACAGTATAAAAGTATTTTATATGTAAAATAAAAATAAGCAAACTTATGGCCATATATTTTCAGATATCCATACATATTTTCCAACACAAAGCATGGGTTTTTTAAAAAAAATGGAAGAAACACTGTTAGATTATTATTATTTTTTTTTATTGAGAATTTTTAAAAGTTTTTACAAATAACAAAAAAAGAACAATAAAAAACAAAAGAAAAACAAAACAACCCTCACCCAACCCCTCCCAAACCACCCCCTCCATCCCCCCCCGAGCTTCCCAGAGCTGAATATAGGCTTAATTAAAATTTTAAGAAACCTAAACAAGTTTTAAACATTAAAAAGAAAAAATACTTAAAAAGGAAAAAAGAAAAGAAGAAAGAAAGAAAGAGGAAAAAAATAGGAAAAAGAAAAAAAAGAAAACAATCCATAAAATATCAAAAATTATATACAAGTTATAAAAAAGCTAAATGATATTTTTTTATATCCAATTTATGTTTTATAAAATTTATCCATTTTTCCCATACAACAAAAAATTTCTCTTGCGATTGCTCCTTTAAAAAAGCCGAAATCTTTGCCATTTCCGCCAGATAGGAAACTTTAAAAAACCACTCTTGCAAGGTAGGCAAAAGATTCCTTCTTCTAATATTGCCCTACTAACAGCCTTGCGGCTGTAATCAAATTTAACATCAATATAACCTCCTTAGCATCACAATCAGTAACAATACCTAACAAAAATAATTGCAGAGTAAATTTTACCCTCCTTCTAAAAATTCTTTGAATATTCCACCATATCTTAATCCAAAAAGCTTTTATATTTTTGCACGACCACCAAATATGATAATAGGTGGCGTCCAAACAACCACATCTCCAACATTTAGGCTGTAAATCAGGGTACATAAGAGACATTTTTTGTGGATCAAGGTGCCATCTATAAAACATTTTATAAAAATTCTCCCTTAAGTTCTGGGCTTGTGTAAATTTAACATTCCTCACCCAGATAATTTCCCAGGTATCCAGTGGGATTGGTTCACCAAAATTTTGTGCCCATTTAATCATACAATCTTTGATTAATTCAGATTCTGAATCCAATTCCACTAGAACCCCGTAGATCCTCTTAATGTGAGTTTGTCTTTGATCCTTTACTTGTTTAAAAAGATTTTCATCTTCTCTAAGCCAGCCCATATTACAATCCATCTTCCATCTGTCCACTAATTGTCTATATTGAAACCATGAATAGGTAATATTTTCATGTACTAAATCTTCCAAAGATTTTAACTGCCAGTTTTGACCATCCCATCTAAGTAATTGTGTGTAAGAAACCCTATCCATTTTAACTCCTCTCCTTATCCCCTCTATCGCATGCCAAGGTATAGCCCATAAAGGTATTTTAAAATCACTCTTATAATACTTCCTCCAAACCCGAAGTAAAGAGATCCTTATAATATGTGATTTAAAAACTCGATCCACTTTTTTATTAAAAATTAAGTAGGCATGCCATCCAAAAAGTAAATCCCAACCCTCCAGATGGAGTATTTCTACATTTGTTAAGTTTACCTAATCACTAATCAATGTTAAGGCCACAGCATCATAATATAATTTCAAATTCGGCACCTTGAGTCCACCCCTCTCACGAAAATCTTGCATAATTTTAAGCTTTACCCTTGGTTTTTTCCCTGCCCAAATAAATTTATTAATGCATTTCTGCCATTCATTTAAGTTAAGCTCATTCTTTAAAATAGGTAGCATTTGAAACAAAAAAAGAAATTTTGGTAGGACATTCATTTTAATCACTGCAATTCTACCCATAAGAGATAGCTGTAACTTATCCCAATTCTTCAAATCTTTCTGTACCCTGATCCACAACTTTTCATAATTATTCTTGTACAATTTTACATTAGAAACAGATAAAGTAACCCCCAAATATTTTACCTTATCAACAACTTCAAAATCTGTTAAATTAACCAAAATCTGCTTGTCCCGGTTAATCATGTTTTTAGGTAATATTTTAAACTGTTAGATTATTTTTAAACTGTGGATAAGTAATTTGTAATACAGGTAGTCCTCGACTGAGCCCAAAATTTCTGTTGCTAAGTGAGATGCTTGCTAAGTGAGTTTTGCCCCATTTTAGCAATAGTACTTAGATTTCTATACTGCTTTGTCATGCTTCACAGCCCTCTCTAAGCAGTTTACAGAGTCAGTATATTGCCCCCAACAATCTGAGTCCCCGTTTTACTCACCTCGGAAGGATGGAAGGCTGAGTCAACCTTGAGCTGGTGAGAATCGAACTGCTGGCAGTCAGCAGAATTAGCCTGCAATACTGCATTCTAACCACCATGGCTCTTTCTTAACACAGTTGTCAAGTGAATCACTGCAGTTGCTAAGCTAGTAACATGGTTGTTAAGTTAATCTGGCTTCCCCACTGACTTTACTTGTCAGAAGGTTGCAGAAAGTCATCACATGACCCTGGGATGCTGCAATGGTCATAAATATAACCTAGTTGCCAAGCAGACAAATGTTGATCACATGACCATGGGGACGCTGCAATGGTCATAAGTGTGAAACACAGTAATAGTCACTTTTAGCAGAAAACTCTAGCTTTGAACAGTCACTAAATGAAATGTAAGTCAAGGACTGCCTGTATAAATAAATGCATTTAAAATTTTTGTATGTTGTCTAATATTTAAAGACTTGCCATATTCTGGGAATCTCATCTGAAATGAACTGTTCTGGAACTGATAATTGCTGAAGAGGAGTGGACTTTCAAAATGCCAGCAAAACAGTTGTGTTTTTCCAAGCGCAATAACTCTTTCACAAACGGGGTCAATAAACTGGATTACTTAAGTTAAATAACATATTATTTATTAAGGAAAGACACACCGCATTCTATAGGATATCTCCAAAGAGAATATGCAGGTACTATATGTGAGTATGGTTACCAGTGTCAAACTGGAAGCTTTTTACTTTGGTTAGAAATAGGCAGTCATCATGTGTCAATTGGGGGAGGGGAGGTGCATTGGTGCAATAACTTTTATTTGTGCATCCATAAAACTAATACTAAAATACTGTTTTTCTACTCTGTTCCACTGTCAGATTGACAAGATTATTTTTACTGCTTCTAACAGGTGTGTGAGGGTGTGTATGGAATAGATCCTTCATTTTCTATAGTTTCGTAATTTATGGCAGCCAAGCTAGGAACCACAGAGTTAATAAATTAAGAAATGTTAGCTAAGGCAAGACTGTACATATTAGATATGTTTGTAAGTCTTCACCACTCTATCTCAGTAGTCAGAAGTCAGAATGTAAAGCGCAAATGCAAACTGTGATCACAAAAGTGCTGAAAATCAGAAGTGTAGACATTAAACTGCAAACAGACCAGTCTCATCTGAGTAATAGTATCACCTCATTAACTTTCTCTAAATTGAAAGTGTATTTTAAATTTATTTCTCCCATCAGATCTTCAACTGTTTATCAAAAAATTGTGTGGCAAAAAAGCCCTCTTGTTTGTCTCATTTGAATGCTAGCCCTTCATAGGTGGGAGAGTATTTAATGACCACATTCAACCTAACAGC